CTGAATAAGTAAGAGGAAATTTAGTTTAAACGTTTGAGACTCTTAGAACTACAGAGAAAAAAAAAAAACAAAACCGGATTCAAAGAATTGGGGAGAGCTACAAACAACCTCTTGGCAGGACGGGGATGTAGCTCAGTGGTAGAGCGCATGCTTCGCATGTATGAGGCCCCGGGTTCGATCCCCGGCATCTCCAGTCCCTTTTGCCTGCACGATCACAAATCGTGTTTTAAAAACAAGAGTTGTTATACATAGTATGTATCCTCTTCTAAACTAATTTTCTACGGTCCTCTTTTAGCCACTGTATATACAACTGTATATGTACAGGGGGAAATTAGATAATTTTGAGGTATCTCGGGATATTTTTATCTGAAATGAATGAAACTGAAAATGAAGAAAAACAAGCAATGCCGAAGAGAAGCAACCTGGCAACTTGCCCAGGACCAATTAAATGAACCGATAGCTGAAGTATCTGGGGGTCCTTTAAAGGCAGAAATAATCTTGGCCTAAAAACCTCGAAAGTGGAGGAGGGGGTATTGTTGCTGAGTTAATGGCACTGAAAAGTAGGACAAATGTTGGAAAAAGAATGAAGCTTTGGTTGAAGGCGAATCCAGCAGCTCAGATGTACTATACTGTTTCCAATTACAAAAAATAAAAGAAAAGAAAGAAAAACGGAAAGAAATGGAGTGGGGGGGTGGGAATCAAGAACGGGAATAATTTCTTGCTAAAGTTCTCAAACGGTGTCTCAACCAGCTGGCCGGTTAGCTCAGTTGGTTAGAGCGTGGTGCTAATAACGCCAAGGTCGCGGGTTCGATCCCCGTACGGGCCACAGCTCATTTTACATCCCTGTGATTAATAACAAATGGTCTTATTATTTATGATTATTTATTTATAACATTAATGTTATTTATTATTTATGATTAAATAATAAATTGTTTTAGGACTGACCTACAAGAAAGCCTGCTGTATCTCCACAAACAACATTTTGTTTAAAGGGCAAATCATTCTAGGGAAGTCTAGAGCATCCGTCTTTGAGTAAGTCAGACTGCTCAACAACTTGCCCTAGAGAAGCAGAAAAGCAGCAGGACACCTTAGGAGTCATTAAAGTCACTAGAAGGAAAAACTATCAGCAGTCCGTTTAGTGGCCAAACACTGCCCTTAAAGTAGTCTGAAAACATAATGAGATCCGGGGCAACTTTGGGAAGGGAGTACTCATTTATCTCCAATTGCTCAGTTTAGGATTCCTATTAGGGTAGATCATCCCTCATATGAAGGGAGGAAATCTCATCTTGAGAGAAGCGTTGTTACTTTGATATCTCAAGTGAGAAAGGACTAAGCCCTTTTCCATAATCTACTTTGTCCTCTGTCACCAACCAGTTGGTCCTGGTTGACCGATGCCAGCTGTCTCTCTGCTCCGTCCATTTCTTGATGTTACACCTCTTAAATCAGTCTCATTTCCCACCAAACAGACTTTCAAAACCCTATTTATGTAGCCCCTTGTTTCTTGTACAACTAATTTCCCTTATTTATCCACGACTTTACAGCTTTATATTCTGTTGAGTGAATTTTCACCTGTTTTTCACTATTTTCCTCGGCTAGTACTGAGATCAAGCCAAGATGAGTTAGGCAACTTATTAGGCCTCGCCTCCTAGGGACTTTGACTCAATAGATTTCAGAAAGACTACAGATTTCTGCATTTATAATAACGTCACGTTTGTTTCTTACAAAGGATGGGTCAGCGACCCTTGAGAAATAAGGCTTTTTACAGTCCTTCGAAGGACTGGGTTGGGGAAAATTCAGGGAAGTTCTGAGAGTCAAGTTGGTATAGTTTTTAAAAATAGGAAAGAAGATAGGAAGGGGAAGAGAGACAGAGAGAAAGAAAAATGTAGTTTACAGTTGTATATGTCTATAAAGGAAGCAAAAAAAAATTTTTTTTTAAGCAGAGAAATTCACTAAATTTTGGTATCTTTAGTGAGGAGAAAAACTATTCATCCAGGTGGCTCGTTGGTCTAGGGGTATGATTCTCGCTTAGGGTGCGAGAGGTCCCGGGTTCAAATCCCGGACGAGCCCGAAGCGTTTTTCCATCGTTGCCTATCCTCTCTATTTAACATTTATTACCGTTAAACTCACAACAGAAACTGATACAGCTGCTGTTAAACTGTTACAGTTTTGTATAGAAATGTGTAGACTGTATACGCACTCGATTCCAATAAGTAACTTGATAACTCTTCTAATTAAGAGAGACAAGTGCTTTTCAGTTTGGGCTCTTACTCAGTTTTCCATCAGCTCTAAAATGACTCCTGAAAAGGCAAATGTTGCTACTTACTCTAGAAGTTTCGACTCCATGGCTGTGATCATATAAAATGTATAAGACGATGGTCACATCTTAATTCAATGTTCATCATTCATTCATTACATCAAAGAAATGGGTTTAAACGGGGAAATCAAATACCGAACTAGAGTTGGGATGCTGAAAATCTTTGTACAAGTTATTTCGGCTTTCCTCCTTTGTATAGCGTTGCACATTCTCCTATAATTTAGGAGATAGGTGTTCTGCTTCTTCATGGAGAAGGGACAATTTCCCTCTGTTCCTGGAGCGTACTGTTGGTACACTCTTTAAACAGATGTCTAGCATCTATTATAACCAACGTGGTAAACAAAACACACTGGATCCTTTATTCCAATGGTTGTCAAATATTTTATATTAAAATACAATCGCAACGCTTCTTCCCACCTCCCTTTGCTGTGTGCGTAAGCCTTGATTGTGGATAAGGACAACAAATGAACAACCATAAGGGGCCTGAAAAGGAGGGAGAAAACCGCAGGGAATTTCTTCAGGGCCACGTCCACATGGCATGGCAAGAGGGGATAGAGTTGACAGGTGATAGAAACAAAAGAGGGACGTCTCAGTGGGCTTCGGAGAAGGCCCAGAGCTGTGTTTGGGCTCAAGGACTTGGGCCCTTTGGGACTGTGCTTAAAGCCACATTGGCAACCAGTTCTGGAGTTCTGCCCTTGCCGGAGTTGGAGTCACCCTTAAGCTCTAACAAACCAGGAAAAATGTATTTCCGTCAGGGGGCCATGAGGCGGAATTCTTCAAGAGTCACAGAGCTGGTAGGAATAGTTCAGAGCTCACCGAGATGCCATCATTCAGTACTTAAGTGTTGGGCCTGAAAGTTTCTCTTGTTGACGACGGTGAAGAGGTCTCGTTTTGGAGATTATGAGGGTTCAGTAATGTAGTTGAGAGAAGTATCCAAACGTTAAAAAAGAAAAAGGAAAAGGAAAAGAAAAAAAAGGCTCCGCCCAACGTGGGGCTCGAACCCACGACCCTGAGATTAAGAGTCTCATGCTCTACCGACTGAGCTAGCCGGGCACATGAAAAGCTGTTTTCCCATTAACCTAGGAGAATATATGATTCTTCTTGGCCCGACAGGGACTATGGAATTCTAGATTTTTCCTGTTTTTGTTTCAGAAATAAGATGACATCAGACACAAAAAATATGAGCATTCTGAAATTATTAGCATGATTTCCATCCATTTTCACTACATCTTTCCTCTTCCCCTCATTCTCACTGACCTGTATTGATAGACCACAAAATGTTTCTGGGATCCAACTCTGAACGCTCTAAGGGTGACTCCGGAAGAGTCAACAAAGTTACCTGATTCCCTTCACTGCAGGCAAGCTGTATGCAGCATCAGCAGGTGAAGGTATCAAATGGACACATCTGATGTCAGAAAGGACCATGACTTCTTCTCTTAGTAGAAATAAAATCTTGGACAAATTACCTCTTTGATATTAATCTTCACCTCATATGGTGTTATGAGAACTAGATATGATCATTCTTATACTCAATAAAATTTCTTTATTAAACATTAACAATAGTTACTTATTAAGACCTTGCCACAGGCAAGGCACTATGCTACCTACTTGAGAGCTAACTATGGACACAACAGGATAGAAAGTTCCTGACCTCAGTCAGTGAAGGGTATGTAATGACTAGCACATGTCAGGTACTTGGAAATGTTAGATTTTTTTCCCTGATGGTTATCCAGCATGTCCAGTAAAGTTTCGTAGACTTTACCATTTACCTTTTTTTAAACATTCCTAGTTCTTTTTGGCTTTTCCTTTCTCCCCCCTCACTTTAAACTTCTGGTATACAATATCTTTTCCAAAAATCATGGAGGAAAGAGAAGCTGCGAACAAATTAACAAAAAACTCAAGGAAAAAATTGATAAACTTTTTCTCTGAAAAACTGCTCGAAATACTGATGTCTGTTGATAGGTACAAGATGCATTTTAACCATCTTATGATGATCTTCAGGTTAGACATTTGCAACCAATCTAGATAGCATACCAGAGGAATGACCTTCCCTAAGGCAGGGCAGTTGTTGGCAAGTATGATTAATTCAGCTTTGTCTTGCCTAATCATTTTCAATATAGTATCCAAGCACATATTTTCATAATCATCTGCACTCAAGTTCAAAGAGTTTCAGGACTTTTTCTAAAAGATAAATATTTACATTAGCAGAATATACTTTCATCATAAAGTATGACCTAAATCACCAACGGCCAGAAAGGTCCCATTAACTTAAATACCAAACACTCTGAGTCAAAGCCTTCAAAGTTGAAAAATTTTTGCCTCCATGACTAACTCAAACTTATTCTTTGGGCTTTTCAATTTTGACAATTTTGGGGGACAGAGATTGTCTTCTTTACTTCTGTGTATTCCTGGCACTTACCTGGTGCCTAGAATGGTCAGTGCTCAATACATGTTTGTGAATTATTAAAGTCACTATTGTGTACATGTTACCAAGTTCAAGCTCATACTCCTCGCCATATGGCAGGCCAATAAATCCAGAGACAAGCTGCTGGGGCAAGGGGCAGCAACTGTTTGGAAAGCCAGCAGACCGAGAAGATGGTGGACTAATGCCCCAAAGTAACATTTTACCCAAGTTAGAATTCAGGCATCTTTTATATTAAAAGGGGAGGGGATGTGATTGGTTGTTGCAAACTCTTGATGTCAGAATCCATTGTTTGCAGTTGTCCATGGAGGTGAGGTCATGATGTTCCTGTAAACCTCCAGCAAGACAAATATTATTCTCTGTTCTTCACTTTTTATTCTCTATATAAATGGAGAAGTGTTACACCTTTAAAGCTCAGAACCTTGAGAATGGGCTATCCTGTGTATTTCAGACAAAAATTCTTAACTTGTAGCAAAAGCAATGAACAAAGATTAAAATTAGGAGAAACAGATCCAATATGGAGTCAAATATGTTTTTCCCTATTACAATTTCTCACTGTCAGACACGATCCATTCCACAATCCTGTGGAGAAGAGGTCTAAATGAGGTGGTAGTTGTAGAAATTAAGAGATTTAGAAAATACTAAGATGGTTTTTAAAACTCAGAGCTTTAGAAAAATGAATATGAATGATTAGGGAAAGTTGTAGATGGAGAGTGACAGATTATGAAAAGTACGTATCACATTTTTTAAATACTTCAAAGGATAAAAAATAGAATAAACTTCATTTATAATAACTTCAAAACTTTATAGTAACTTCAAAATATAAATTTATTGTATTTGCCAGACTTTTCGGCCTTTAGATTTAAAAAACAAATCTGAAACTTGGAAATAGGCAAAAATAAACCAACTAGCCAAACAAACCAAAACCAAAACCAAAAAAGGGCTTCATATCTTTTCATTGTCACCCTAGACGATCCTACAGAATTTTAAAAGAGATCTGTCCAAGAAATATTTTTATTCTCTAGGGCATGGTTTCTTAACCTCAAATATTGACATTTTGGACTAGATAATTCTCTATTGTCAGGCCTGTCCTGTGCATTGTAGGATGTTTAGTAACATTCCTTGCCTTTGCCCATTACATGCTAGTAGCACCTCCTCAATTGTGACAATCAAAATTATTTCCTCATATTGTCAAATGTCTTCGGGGGGTGGAGGGGGATTGCCTGCTTTATTAGTCAGTACCTTTGTTTTAACTGTTTATTGATTAGGGTATTTTCAACCCTGTAAGAGTAAATGTATATAATAATAATGGTGCAGTTGAAACTTTGATAAAGATGTAGTTGTTTTCTGCCCTGTAGAAAAAGTAACAGTTTTATTGCCTTGCGGGGAATTTTCCACTTCTATATCTCATTTAGCAATGTTAACTACAGCATTCCTTCTCTCAGTGACTGTAAATAACTTGAACCAGTTTTACCATCCTTTTGGGGTTCTCATTAATGAGTTAAATAAATCTTTTGACAAGTATTTTTTTACATTTGTGTGAGTCATGCATTTTCCTTTTTGAAAAGCATAGATGAGTGAATGCTGGTCTCAATGTTCTACTTGCACAAGGGGACACCTTGTATTCAGATAGATAATTTTTAAAATATTGTTTTAGCTCCTCATCGACAGGTTTTTGCTGAGTTTAGAATTAGTGGGACAGTCTGGTTTATCTACAGGGACTAATATCAACTAACAAATTTTCCATATGGCTTTGATGAGTTTAACCCTATGCTTGTTTCCTTCTTCCTCTCCTTCTCTAATTAGCTGTTCAAATTACAAATTAAAGTACTCCAAATCCTGTTTAAAACTGGTCATTTAAATTCATTCACCACGGTAAGACACTCATTGCTAAATTTTTTTCAATTCCTCGTGCCTCATTATTTTGTTTTCCTTTTGCAAACCAGTGGGTGCTACCGTTTTCTCCTTGGTCCAGGGCGGTGGTCCTGTGAAGGGATGCCGGATTACAAAACACGTAGAGGCGACTAGAACAGACCTATCAAATAAAAGTGAGTAAAACAGCAAACACCAAAGGTCTCCCAACCTCGCGCAGAGATGGCATCGTCTGCGGGGAACTACGAGCGTGTGATTCCTTCGATAGCTCAGTTGGTAGAGCGGAGGACTGTAGAGGAAGCGTTCAGGCATCCTTAGGTCGCTGGTTCGAATCCGGCTCGAAGGAGTTCGCGTTTTTTGTTTATTTTTTTCCGTTTTGTGGTTCCCCCCAATCCCATCTCCACCTTTAAAAAGATCTGAGGCAATTACATATATCCTCAATTACATATATTCTCACTGTACGTCTGTTCAAGACTAATCTCATTGTGCAGCGAATCTAATTTTCAAAATTATTATTCTCCGTAGGAATTACTAATACGCGCAATCAAGCATCACTCCTATAGTTCATAAAGAGCTGGTGCCTCAGAGAAGTCCCAAGCTCTGACAAGGCGACCAGAGATGGTCCACTAAGCTAGGAGCCCAGAGACAAGTCGCCACACCACTTGGGTTCGTACGACGTTGGGAGGGGCGGCCTGGTAGGAATAACGCTCACCAACGGATAGTAATTGGTGGGCCACGCGCGCCCTCTGGTGGTTTTAGAGTCCTGAGTCTCTCCGAAGGTTTTTGTTTTTTTCCCCAGGCGGATGCTCAATTACTGACAGCCACCCACAGCTCCTGGCACTACTCCCCATTCTCCGTTTAATTATGTAAAGATGGTTCTCAACCATGGCTGAGAAAAGTGGGTGCATGTCAGAATCACCTGGGGCTATTTCACAAAGCGCCTATACTTGCGCCAATTTGGAGGTGGGACCCCGGACTAGTAGCTGTAAAAGCTCCCAGGTGATTTTTAATGTGTTGCAAGGTTCGAGAACCACTACAGAAGAGAAAACTTTTAGAAAAAAAAAATAGACAATGGGAAAACTGATGGAATTTTTTACCCACTTTGGGAATTAGCTCAAGAGGTAGAGTTCTCTCTTAACAATAGAAAGTATTTGCCAATTTAGAGCCAATCTCATTAAAATGTATTAACCCCACTTCTACTCTGTCTGAATAGTGAGATCCTGATTATCTACGGAAGAGTTCTCAACTACGAAGATATAAAACCAAAATAATGAAGAATTGTCTAAGGATTTTGTGCCTGGCAATTTCTTGTATTTTCCTTCCCATGCTTCACAACTTTTATTCTTTAAGCGATTCTCAAACTTTGGTGTGTATCAGAACCACCTGGAGGCTTAACACAGAACCTAAAGCCCAGGCTTGTTGAATTAGCCACTCTCAAACTCAGTTAGTGGTTTGAAAGCCACTGCCTAAAACACATTGGAAACTACTCGTATTAAGGTCTGGAAAGTGGTCTAAACTGGTAGCTCCCTTGCTCTTTGAAAGCGAATTGAGGGCAAAAGATTAAACAAGGAAAATGGTCCAATTTTCTTTTCCGAGATAACATTTGGGCCTTAGATGCAAAGTTAGTCCTAGACTGAGCTTCTCGCCAAGGCACCAAGGATTTCAATTTCCCTCCCATGACTGGACCATATTCTGCAATATTCCAGTGTCAGTGGTGGCAGCAGCTCCACCACCTCCGTAGAAACAGCCAGTTGACTCCAGAAGAGGAAGAGTGAACATAAAAAGAAACCTCAGTCATACCTACCTATGCTTTGGCTCTTCATAAGTTCATCAAGAAATGGAAATCATTTGTTCCAGTTGTAAGAACTTGAGGTTGTCTTCAGTAGGTCAGACATGAGGGAAATAGATTCTGAGAATGAAAAATGTAGTATTAATACATAAAAAGTTGAAGTGTAGATTTGCAAATCCACCTGCAGAGACCAAAATTCAAATCTGCAAAACGAGAGAGAAATCCCAAAGAATCTAACCTTGCCTTTTCTATCACTGGAGACAAATGAGCTCAGGGTACATAGGTCTTGAAGGAGAGGTCATCAGTATTACATGGGCCCTTCTTATCTGGTAATGTTTTAGCAAGGCATTTATTTATAGACGCATGGGAATAAAGGCCAAGTGTATGCAGAACATAAAACTGGAGAATGCGGGCATCGATCCCGCTACCTCTCGCATGCTAAGCGAGCGCTCTACCATTTGAGCTAATTCCCCGTCCTCGTGAACGTTTCCGCCTCCATTACTCACTTTCATATCTGAAAGTAGCTCAGAACTCTGGGCTACCACAGTTTGCTGTTGGCGTTAGCCAACAGGACGAAGTTCGGGTCATCAAAGAGCCCGTGGCGCGCCACCTACAATCTGTTCTACGATGCTGGACCCTATCTGGAGAAAACTGGCTAGTGCAGATGGAACAGAGCGTGGAGTTCACAGAAACACCTGTCTTCGAGATTGGGCAACAGTTTAACACTGGGATTATATCTACGGAAACCGGGAATCTGAAGGAAATTGCAGGTGTATCCAGGAAGGCTAAATCAAGTTTCTTAAACAATGAGCCCCGGCTTTTGACCATCTCAGTAGTTCCTGCCAATCCCTGCACCCCTAAATTTTCGATCAGTTGCCTCTGCTAGTCCTGGAAACAGATTCTGCAGAGTTCCTGCGAATATCCCCTAAGATTCGCTTTCTGTCTGGCTTTTTAAAACACCACAGTCAGTGGGCACAAGACCATGAGGGAGCACGAGTCCCAGTTAATTTCTCCCTTCATTCTGGCTTCTGTAGCCTCGATTTCGAGCAAGGTAATTTCGATGAATGAGGTCATGAGGGTGGGGTCCTGATCCCATAGGATTACTATTCTCATTAGGGGAGACACCAGAGAGTTCTCTCTCTCAAAACTAACAGTTCTCACCAGGAGCTGAATGGCTGTCATCTTAATCTTGGACATCCTAGACTCCAGAACTGTGAGAAAATGAATTTCTGTTATTTAAGCCACTCAGTCTGTGATATTTTGTCATAGCACCCTGAGCAGACCAAGCCACTCACCCTTCTTTAATCTGTCTTGTGAGAAAAGAGGTGGGACTCTAAACCACTCTGCTGATTTACTACGTGGCTCCATGTTAGGCTTTGCCAAAAGGAAAGCTAGAGGCAGGATGCAAGGCTGGAGGAGGAGGGAAAAAAGTGGACTTGTCTTTTCTGTTTCCTTTCTGGGAGTTTCCTGTTCCTCTAAGTATCATCCCAGGAATACTTCTGCATGGCAATAGAGAATTTCTGTAGCAGCAATTGAATCCAGCATCATCCTGAAATTTCACAACTCTTTGACATATCTGTTGTTTTCCATCTTATATTCAAGGCACAGACAGGAGGACATTTGACAATGTCAAGAGAAACTCCACTTCCTAGGATCCCTCCTCTCCAGCTGCTAATTCTGTATTGGGTTAGGAACATGTCAAGTTACTGGATAATATTTTCTTAGTTTCCCATGGAAAGGGGTTTAATTACTGAGTTCAGTATCAACTATGTGCTCTCGGTCTTCCTAATAGAAGGCATTGGCAATTGCCATTTGAAGAACAACTTGAAATTTTTTCAATTATATAGTTTTGTAGAAATAATATAGTTTTGTATAAATTTGTGGAAATAAGCACAGACATTTTATAGAGAAATCCACCTAAACTTTTCCTTAAGTATATTGCCAAAGAAAGCCTTTTCTCTCTAGACAAGTTAGCATATTCCCCATTTGTGTCTATTTCTGCCTTAGGCACAAGAAACAGCATGAGGCAATCTCTGTTGAACCTTGATATTTGATGATTTTCTTTGAAAAAAGAATATTTACATTTGCATTTAAAAGTTTTAGGGGTTTTTGTTTCACTTTAATTGCTCTATCATATGAATCACCAGAATTATTTATCCAACTAAGATTTACACAGACACACACCACTCCACATATTTCATCATCAGAGCTATGAATATACACTGTTTCTCATTAGATTTTCAGAAAGGAGAATCACAATGGTACCAAAATGCACTGGATATGGCTCTGTTTACAACTTTGGGGTCCTCTTCAACCCAGTTGTCTGTATTTACGGTACCATATCATTTATCGAGCAAACCTAGAGACTTTTGAGAGAGAAAGGAGAAGGTAATTAAAGGGGACCGGAGGAAATCGGTGTAATCCAGAGGGTTCACCCTAGCTGTATAATACTTGGAGAGGTGGACATGGGATACCGGTACGGTTTTTATTTTGGGATGTGCACAGAATAATATCATAATGTCTTAAATGTACAACCCAATGGATTGTACATATTTATTAAACCCATGAAACTAACTACCCAGATCATTACATAGAACACATTTAGTACCTAAAAAGACTGCTTAAGCTTGATTGTATTTTTAAAAGGAAAGATGAGTATTATCAAAGTAGAAACCATCTGGACAGACATATTTTAGGGATTCTGAAAAACTTGTGCCACGTGGTCCTTCGATAGCTCAGTTGGTAGAGCGGAGGACTGTAGGCTGTACAACGAGGTATCCTTAGGTCGCTGGTTCGAATCCGGCTCGAAGGACAAAAATTTTGAACGTAAGACCAAAACGATAAACCAACCACTCATGTTAGACCTGACCAAAAACCAAAGCCCTTTAAGAATGGTTATTTCTGTTCAAATAGGATCACGATTGAAAAATTAAAAAGTCCTAAACACACTAGTGTAGGGTGTTCGCTTTCAGCTGTGTGGTGAAAATCTAAGTTTTCAGTTTTCCACTTGTGAAATTCACACTTCTCAACACCTTCGGTTCTCCCCTTCTTAATACCATCCTTGTTCCCGCTCCTGATCATCAGATGCCGTTATTATTCCTATTTCCCTCTCTCTCCCTGACCTGAGTTAGAGGTTGGACTCCTGCAGTGTCCACACCTGACCAAAGATCCGGAGGCAGCCTCCAGGATGGAGTTTGGTTGAGAAGCAATGTGAGAAGGGTGGGGAATGGGAGGGGCGCCATGCCAGCAACGTTTTCACTTTAATTTTTTATTGAAGATTAGGTTACTCGATGGCCTTTGGGGTCCTCTGTTAGGCTGGTGATTTTTGAAGAAGGTTTTCTTTTATTAGAGACAATTTCAAGCATACCCCAATGTAAAAATAGATAATAGTATAACGAACTTCATCATACCCTTACCCAGATACAACCATTTTTGCACCAACTACGCCAAATATACACCCTCCCCCAGCCTCTCATCTTTCCACGTAAATCCAAGAAATGTGTTCTCATTTCGCCCACTATTGTATTTAGAAGAGGTCGGTGTTAAAGATGAAAAAGAATCAGCTTCTCCCCTAATCCGCCCTCACACACACACCAGAAGTGGAGGGCAATTTACAAAATGTTGCCTCCCTTAAAATTAACAAATAATTCGCGAGTGAAAAAGTGAGGAAAGCGCGGCATCCGGGAGGTGAGGAGGCCGCCGGGGCTGCTCATATCTTAGGAACGTAAGTGGGACCGTCCAGAGAAAAACTGTCAAGCCTGTATTACCTGTGGGGTCATATCTGCCACCTGCTTCAGTGCGTCTCGACAGCTCAAAGCAGGTTCTAGTTGGAATAAAGAAAAATGTATCCGAGGCCCAGAAGGGCGGTGTATATTAATAAATAACATAACCATGAGTAATAAGTGGTAAAAAGAGCCCCAGTGCGGCGCTGTCAGTCAGCCTTAGGGCGCCTTGAGGGTGCGGATGGCGCCCCCTGCTGGCACATCCTCCGACGACCAGACACGCCCGAGTGGGAGCGGCCTAAGCTGGGAAAAGTGCCGGGGATGCGGTGTAGGGATAGCGCCCAGGGCCGCCCTCGAGGCCGGAATCGCAGGGACCTGGTCTGTTCCTGAGGTTTTGTGATCTGAGAGGAAACCTGTAAGGACAGGACCTGGAGAGGAGTTGTGATTGCGCCCTTTGAGGTTGCGGGTGATGAAAGGAATGTTCACATATTGAGGTATGGGATGGTCATTCCGGCTTAAAGTGATTTAACATGAACTTCATTCTAATCAAATAGACTGTTTTGGGGCCTAATATACAGTGTACATCTGCTTTAACCATGGAAGAAAAGAATGCAACTAAAAATCAAAATGGAGTAACTGTGGTTCAGGCATTCAAAATGGAGCTGGGTGGCCATTTCGTGACTGTGGTTTCAGATCCATTCCTGCATTACGGAGAACTTGAGTTTTCGGAACTGTATCAAACTTAGGGACACATTTAACTGTTCTTTGAAACAATGTCTGCTAGCAACTGCCAGATGCAACCTTATGGTCTCAAAGTCTCCACTGGTAACTATGCAACCATTTCAGACTCCAACCAACCCTAGCTTAACAAGCACCCTTATTCTTGCCAGCTCCAATTATAATTCTTAAAAAAAAAATTATGTAATTTTGCCGGTTTTGCCTTCCGCACTTTGTAGTCTGTAGGAACACAATTCAAGTGCTTCTTGAATCTGTCTCCTGGGCTATAGCTCTCAGTTTGGCTAAAATAAAACTCTTTTCTATTCCTACTGTATACATTGTTTATTGAATATGTCCATCAAAGCATGAGAAAATTGGGATTTCTAGAGGCCACCTACTGTGATCCAGCTGGGTGGCGTCCTCCACTTCTCCTACAGGTGAGCTGGGGAGAAGCAGCCAGAAAGAGGGAGCCAGATCCAATGCAAATCTGCCTGTGTGGACCCTCCAGGTTCCAAGTGAGACAGCTTCGGTAGACTCACTTATTAAATGTTGATTCTTCAGGATTTTCTTCATAATTTACCGTGTCATATGCAAATAGAGACAGTTTTACTTTTTCCTTCTAAATCTGTAGGACTTTATTTCTCTTTCTTGCCTTTTTGCGCTGGCTAGAACCTCCGGGACAATGTTGAGTAGAAGTCATGAGCATAGATATCCTGTGCTAGACCTGATCTTAGGGCCAAAGCATTCAGTCTTTCACCATTAAATATAATGTTAACAGTAGGTTTTTAAACGTCTTTTACAGTTTGAGGAAATTCTCTTATATTACTAGTTTGTAGAAATTTCATCATGAATGTATCCCAACTTTGTCATATGCTTTTTTCTGTATCTGTTGAGATAATCATATCATTTTTCTTTTTTAGTCTGATAATAAGATGATTACATTGATTAATTTTAAAATAAGTTCTAACCTACACTTCAATGTTTCACCTCCTTTAATTTTTTTAAAGTCTCTTTCCCATTTTTAAAAAATAAGATAAATTTATATAGTGATGCTTTATAGTACATCAGTAAATTTTGACAAATGTATACAGTCATGTAACTAACACCACAATAAAGATATAAAATAGTTGTCCCCCACGCACACATTTCCCTATGCTCCTTTAAAAGTTTATTCCTCCTCCTACATTCTACCCTGGTAACAACTGATGTTTTCTGTCCCTGTAGTTTTGTCCTTGTAAGAATGTCATATGAGTAGAATAATACAGTATGTAGCCTTTTGTATTTGGCTTCTCTTATTCAGCATAATGCATAGGTGATTTCTCTCTGTTGTTATGTTTACAGAGAGCTTGCTTCTTTTTATTGCTGAGTAGTATTCCATTGGAATATTAAGGCTGCCTGTAAGCTTTAGAACTGTCTAGGACAACCATTAGCAAGTTGAGAAAGTGCTAAGACAGTAGAGAAGGAACAGAGTGAGAGTAGATTGTAATAAAGTGAAGATGATGCACTTCTGGGCATGATCCGGGAGATTAAGACTTACCCGGAGATCTGTTCTGAGCTTGGGTCTGGAGCAGGATAGAGAAGGGTAGCTCTGACACCAGACACTGAAAGAAGAGAAGACAGGACAAGGTGATCTGTAAGTCTAGTGTGAAGAGGTGTGGATTATTTGCCTGTGTATCCCCAGGTGGCTGTCAGGGGTAACAGCTTTCCAGGCTGATGGAATCGCAACTTTAAAGGCCCTGCAGTGGGAATCTTGAGCTGAGATTAGTTTATAGGTAAAGGAACTAGTTGTCAAGATCAGCTATTGGAGTTTTTCAGAATAAAATCAGCTCTGTAATGCCATCCGACTATGAGAGGCCCTGGGATCTCAAATGAGCACTTGTCCTTACAGCATTTAATATGTGGAACAGACCGTCTCACACAGAAACCACCTGCTTCTCTAGGATTTCTCCACTCTGGCTTCTCACATTTACCCAAGATTAAGTTATATTTTTGGAAAGAAATGTACTAGGCCATATATTAGTTTCTCATGGAAAGGAACTTAAATATTCTGTATTGCATGCATTTCCCATGGAAATCACTGGACAGGACGTTTGGAAGAAAAATGTGTTATTTTTTCAAGATTAAAGTTACAGAGAACTTTGATTTTAATAAGCAATGATCTTTTTAGATAAGTTCACCAAAAATCTTTTCCACAAATGTATCGTTAAGAAAAATCTGTGAGGATGGCTTCCTGTTTTTTTCATCAGTGTTCGTTCCTGTCTTGGGTGCCAGGAAGCTGAATGTCACTATAGGCACTCATTAGCAATGCATGACAGCATCCCTATAAATGGAATGTCCATATTACTTTAAAAAAAATTTAGGAGAGGTATGTTTCATTTACTTGACCCACAATAATTGCGCAATATGAGCCACACATTTCTGAACCACCCCCACCACCACTAAGAAGACAGTAACTCTGCTTCAAGACAGTAAGTCCCTCTTCAACTCAGTTGTCTATATTTAGGGAAACCTTATCATTTATCGCTCACTTTTATTGAGAAAAGAGGCGTTAAGCAGCTGGGACAGAGGAGTAATAAGGGTGATGGTCCTACCTGTATTACACCCAAGGAAGCAGGACAACAAACCAAAGCACAAATCTTTAGTGTTCAAGGAAGGGCATTAATTTTTAAATATACTTCTGTAGTCACTACTCATATCAGTTTTAGAATATTTCCAAGACCCTGGAAAACTTCACGTTTGCCTCTAGTTTTTAAATAAAATTCTGGTCATAACAAAAACCATTAGGATAAACATTATTTAAAGCATTCTAAAATAGGGGCCTTTAGTTCCTTCGGTAGCTCAGTTGGTAGAGCGGAGGACTGTAGGTGTTGAACGTGGTTATCCTTAGGTCGCTGGTTCGAATCCGGCTCGAAGGACTTGACCTTTTGAAAGCTCCTTACACCCTTTTGAAAGGTTGTCATTGACATTGCTGTCCTGGAAACTCAGAACACGAAAGAAAACTTGAACAGCTAGCAGTCATTTGTGCTCACAGATGATCATGCAGGAATGAATAAATAAATGATCCTCAGATACAGTGGACTATAAAAGTTGCTTCACCGAAGGTCAAGTAGGTCGCCAAAGGAAGACGGAGTCTCCAGGAGACTGACTTCTCACGGAGTTGAGAAGAGGTCACGGGGAGTGTGGAGAATGGGAAGGTCTCCCTGCTACCATGGTTCTGCCTCTTCAGCTCAGAAGTAAAGTCACTTTGGCTATCCTGGACCTCTGATCCTGCTCTCACTCTTTGAATCTCCCGGCTGACCCGGGATCCACTTCCGCCCTCTGCACTAGGCCTGGACTTGCCCGCACCGTCCAATCCAGTCCTTTCATTTGTCATCACCCCGGCAGGCCCCGCCCCCAATACGTAAGCCGTCGCAAACGGTGCGCGTCAGAGGCACGGCGCTTTACGGCTGTCCTGCTCCACTTAACGGCAAGCATGGCGGCAGAGGACTCGGATAAGGGAGTCCCCGATCTGGATCCTGTAGAAGGTAGAGACCAGAAACCAGACGCAGAGGAGGAACAGGAGGAGACCAAAGAGGCGGCTGGCGGCGGCAAGAAACGGGTAGTGCCGGGTATTGTGTACCTGGGCCACATCCCACCCCGCTTTAGGCCTTTGCACGTAAGGAACCTACTCAGCGCCTACGGCGAGGTCGGGCGCGTTTTTTTCCAGCCAGAGGGTGAGTGCTTCGGCCGTGGTGGTGAGGGAAGGAGGGTGATGCTTGCTGGCGGTGTGCGTGCACGCGGGTCCTGTTAACCTCGCCTGCGTGGGTGCGGGGCGCTGTCGCGGCCCGGGGGCCGGCGTCCCGCTTTGGTAAATCCGTAGCACATGTCTCCTAGGGGGCAGGAATGGGGTTTGAGTAGCGCAGTTTGCCTAGCTGAGCCTTAATTCTCGGATAGCTAACTTTTGGATTTTAATCTCGTCTTTGGCCACCCCTCTCCCTGAGTCTAATTTACCAGTTTGTTAAGTGGGTACAGCCTGAATTAAGATCTCTGCCTTTTCCCAAAACTGAACCTATCCTTTAGTTATTGAGGCCCGGATCAAGAAAAGGTATACAATCAACTGCCCCCAGTTCCCACAGAGACACTTAACTGGAATTGGGACTGGGGGCCTGTGAGGGTTTTAAATAGAGTGTTTAGGGCAGACCTGTTAAAGGAGTTGACATTTGAGTTAAGGATTGAGTTAGACAGGGGTGAAAGGGTGGACTTTGCAGTTACCAACTTCCGGGCAAAGACCTTGAAGTAGGGTCCTGGCTGGCGGGCAGGTTTGCAGAATTGGCGATTAGGAGGTGCAGCTGAGTGGGTGCTACGTCGGCTTACTTCACCACACCGCTCTCTCTTTGGCTCGCAGACGGGTTCGTGAGGCGCAAAAAGAAGGCAGCGGCGGCCTCCGCTGCGGGAGGCAAAAAGCGATCCAAGTACAGCAAGGACTACACCGAGGGCTGGGTGGAGTTCCGCGACAAGCGAGTAGCCAAGCGTGTGGCGGCCAGTCTACACAACACACCCATGGGCTCCCGCAGGCGCAGCCCCTTCCGTTATGACCTGTGGAACCTCAAGGTGAGGGGATTGGCTTGTCTCATCCTCCCACTTTTCCACACCCAGCCCAGGAACCTTATAACCTCTTGTTGGTCTCGCCCCACCCATCTCTTCTCCATCCCTGGCCTTCCCTACCCAGATCTTTTCTTGTTTTCCTGTCCACAGTACTTGCACCGTTTTACCTGGTGCCACCTCAGTGAGCATCTTGCCTTTGAGCGCCAGGTGCGCAGGCAGCGCCTGAGGGCTGAGGTTGCCCAGGCCAAGCGTGAGACTGACTTTTATCTTCGAAGTGTGGAGCGTGGTCAACGTTTCCTTGCCAACGATGGGGACTCTACCCGCCCGAATGGCTCCTGGACGTTTGCCCAGCGTCCTACTGAGCAGGAGCTGAGGGCCCGGAAGGCAGCTCGGCCAGGAGGACGTGAACGGGCTCGCCTGGCTAATGCCCAGGACCAGGCCCGTTCCAACCGAGGGCTTCTTGCCAGGATCTTTGGAGCCCCTCCACCCTCAGAGAGTATAGAGGACTAGTTAGGAACTCTTGAGGGGCAAGGAGGCCCTTTCCCCCTCCTGGCCCAGCCCTGAAAAAGAATACCTGGGCAGACATTTTATTGTGTTTCTCAAACCAGGAGTCTCTGGTAAATGCTCAGACATAGAAGTTTTGTAGGCCTCTCCTCTCCCCTCCAACTCCTGTACATGCCTGGTTGAGGCACTTAATTCATACTAGCTGATTATGACTACTGAGATGCCTGTTTTGTCTTGTTTGATTCTTGGCTGCCTGCCTCCTGACCATTGGGGCCCTCTAAAAATTCTACTTTCTGGCCCCAAGAAGAGTGTTTACTTTGAGCTACAGTAATAATGGCTAGTCCAGACAGCTATTTACCAGCCGCAGGTACCGGGCAGCAACAACATCCTTTTTATTTAGGAAAAAACTAACAGGGATGGGGGTTAATGGGGTAGGAGTGGCTTGGGAGCCACCTTCCAAATAGAATTTATAGAAAAGAAAAAATATATGTATATATTTTTGTATGCTTTTATGGGAGTTGGAGATGGTCACTGGATAAATTCCAACTTCCATCTGTGTCCCATTCACTCACCTTCACTCCATCTCCTGGTCTCAGACTCACCTTTCCCCCCTTCAACCTGGACCCTTTTCTATCTATCTAATCAATTTCTTAGGCCATGTTATTCATAGTTATCTAATTCAGCATTTACTCAGTCACTATATGAGGACATAGAGTGATAGTGGGTAATAATATATGGCCCTTGGTGTAAGTCTTATAGACCACTAAACAGATGTTTAAGACATAAATGTATAGAAATACTGCATGTGTATAAGGGATAGAGTGGAGCCATGGGAAGACATGGTTGACTTTGTCTGGGAAGGTAAGTGGTGCTCTTAATGTGGAGCTGATTTCCAAACAGAGTCTTCAGAGATAGGTCAAATTTTCACCAGGTATTTCAGATTGTTCCTGAAAAGTGAACAGAATGTTGAAAGAGCCCAGTATTTATTCCTATAATTGCAACAAAGCTCCATGGATGGAGTATTGGGCAAACCACTGTAAAGGTAGGCAAAACCTAGGAGGTAGTTATGAACAAATGATGCCCTTCTGGTTCGTTTACACATATTTTCTGTGCTTGGGCAAGGGAAGGTTCACAAACAACATGCAAAGTAGCTCTGCTGGTGTCAAAATCCATGTAAGCCACTAAGAGGTGTCACAATAAACTAAGAAAAATCTACATACAACCTCATAATAGATTAAAACTCTGGTCAATGTCCAGGCTTTTAGAGTTACAGGTAGTGTTAGAGTGATAATAATATGAGTTCTGCTTGTGCTGTTTGCTTTCTTAGGTCTTTTTCCTCATCTTTTTTTCATTGTCATCAATTATCTATCTATTTGGATGAAATGAATTCATTCACCTTGGCTCTAAAATAACCTAGCCATGTTAAGACTTCAGTTTGATAGGTGCAGTTTATTTGGGAGAATTAAAAAATCATACAATAAAAAATTATGGTCTGCTTGGTGTGACTTTTCTCACAATCTTTATGCCTCTCATACCCAGCACACAAACATATCTTTGTAACATTATCCTGTTCTTGTTTTCTGTGTTCATTTCTTGTGAGTTTGTTTGTTTGTTTGTTTTGTGAGTTTGTTTCATGTGGATTGTTTCCTTAGGTCATGTGTCTCCCAGATGAACCAGGAAGATCCAGTCTCAGAATCTGACAAGCTGTCATTCATTTATTCACAGCTCTAAGTGCCCATTGTCACCTTTGCTAGATGAAGGGAGTAACAAGGTGAAGAAATTTCTTCCTTTTAAGTTGCTAACAGCTTAGAAAGTAAAACACATGTAGGGCTTAATAATTTCTTGAATGAATGAAGTTGTATATCCAGGCTGGTTGGCGTTAAATATCAGTATATTCAAGGTCAGCATTTCAGGCTTAAGTTTAAACAGTTCTGCACAAAGAGCTCACACTTGGGGGCAGGTAAGCTGGGTAAGTCACAGAGTGAGGAATGAAAATACAAATGGGTAGAAGAAAATCAGTTTCCCAGGAACAGTAATCTTGATTCCCTCTAAATTCTAAGCCCTTTGAAGGCTGGAAAATACCTTTTTTACGCTTCAAAATGTGTTCCCATTTGAACAGCACTTAGTTTTCTGTATGAGTTATTTAATACACAGCCATACAAAATCATTATCCCCACATTTCCATCATTAAAACCAGGATTAGATATGACACAACTTGCCACTTAATATTATTACCATCATCTTTCCCAATTGCTTTCGCAAATGTGCATATGATATATGCTTATTGCATGAATCTCATGTGACATAAGCTTATATCATAGACTAGAGAGTGAAGAGTTACAGCAGTTATGAATGGATTTATCTAATACCAAGAGTTGTAAACTGGGTGGTTTAACTCTCACCCGTCCTCTATATAATTAGACTAAGTTATGAAACCATTGTGCAATGCATACTCTGAATCAGCTTAGTTTCACACCATCCAAGAAGCTGAGATCCTGCATTTGCCAGAACAGTAGATCAGTAAAATGAGCAAGGGCATCTGGCCAAAGGGAGTAAGAGGGCTTTGATAGGGTATGTCTAGGCGTGTGAAATTATTCCTAAAAATATCCAAAAGTCACAGAACACTCTTCCTCAGTTTACTTTTCCGTGATTTCTCATATCTCTGGAAATTGTCTTGCTGTTTTCAAAGTTGAAGGGAAAATCCCTTCACGTAATCCTCAGCGATGTGCCCTGTTCCCCGAAGAGAGTTAATGTTTTGGCAGATTGAGGTCCAGTACAATTGGTCCTCGACTTATGACGATTCAACTTAAAATTTTTCAACTTTAAGATAGTGAGAAGGCAGTTCACATTCAGTAGGAACTGTACTTCCAATTTTGAATTTTGATGATTTTCTTGGCTAGTGATAAGTGGTGAGATACTCTCTCCTGGTGCTGGGCAGCCACTCAATCATAAGCCATTCTGTTTTTCACTTTCAGGACAGTATTCAATAAATTACATGATATACTCAACACTATTATGAAATAGACTTTGTGATTTTGCCCAAGTGTAGGCTAACTTAAGTGTCCCCAGCACGTTTAAGGCAGGCTAGGCTGAGCTATGTTGTTCGGTAAGTTAGGTGTATTAAGTGCATTTTCAAATTACAGATGTTTTCAACTTAGATGGGTTTAACTGGTGTAACCCCATCCTCAGTAGAGGAGGATCTGTATTAGATTTCCCAAACCTCAAAGAGGGGATCTCGCCTCTGATTCCCAGCAAAAGCGGTAATCTTCCTTTTTGGTAAATTACATCCGCTGGCCTCGCGCCTGTACAAAACTCTGAGACGCTGAGTAATAACAAAGCCAGGGGAACAAAATGAAAAGAAACGGATAAAACTGTTCTTTGTTAGGCTCTCATTTTTGAAAAATGTAAACAACATCCTGAATACTCCTGAGACTTTAACTAAGCGAGGAAACTCGGATGATCTAGTAAAATACAAAAGTCACCGTAACCAGATATCCCCGAGGGGGCCTCCGCCACCCGCCTTGGCGGTCCGATGTCCGACCCAAGTAGCTGATTCAGGTAGAGGTGACGCAAGCTCAGTGTGGACAGCAAGCTCTGCAGGCCTTTGGCCGAGTGGCCGCGGCTGCTCTTCGCAGGGTGGGCTCTACTGGATGTACCAACCCAACCGAGGGAGATAGTCTGGAAACAAAATTAGAAGCTACGTCCCGAATAACCGGATTGCGCTCACACCTGATGGCATGCCAAAGGCGTTCGGTGAATTTTATTTAATTAACCTATCCCAAAGACGACTGGAGGAGGCGTGTTAGTTTGATTTTCGTTTAGTTTATGAAAACAATGAGAATCTGACAGTATCAGATACAGTCTCAGAATTAAAACACACGCCTCTCTTCGAGCACAAGAAACCGTCCCTGGGTGGGCTTGAACCACCAACCTTTCGGTTAACAGCCGAACGCGCTAACCGATTGCGCCACAGAGACGGAGACGGTAGAAGATTTCTATCCCAACAATATCATTTTATTTTTTTCCCTTTTACAAGCTATATTTTAGAAATGCACCTTTTACTGGCTATAAATATTGGGAAAATGTTCTCTTCTTGATTTTCGTTGTTCCCATGTTAATGGTGTGTTTTAAAAACAGACGTTTTAATAATGTAGATATTATTCTGAGAGAGGTAAATCAGAGTTTTGATGGGGCAGAGTGGGATGCGGGACGATTGACTGTTTACTCGAATAGGTGTGAGCATAATCTGAGGAAAGACATTAGGACAGAATTTATTCTCAGTTCAAAGATGGGGTTTTCGCTAATAATTCATTTACGAGGAAGCCCCTGGAAGGATCCTGAATACATGAAAATATATTAAATGGGAAAGACACCAGGAAGAGCAATGAGGAAGGGGAAAACATTCGGGAAAATGTTGAAAGGTTCTGCGATGGATCCCGGAACTATCAGATAAAAGGGTAGGTAGTTCCTGGGAAACAGGATACTCTCATGGTACCAAAGTAGCATCACAGAGATCACTTGCTAATTGTAGAGACTAAAATCTTTACGGATAAGAGACTATATATCTCCACTTAAGCTAGGGATCAAATTTAGCATCATTAACAATGGGACAAATTAACACTATGTGCTTCCTGATGAAGTCACAGGAAGTACACAGTATGAACCATTTAATATTCTGGCCAAAAAGATTTAACTTTGATCCAATCAGACCTTTGGACATGACTTCTAGCCTATAGTTGCTTCATGTAGCTACTGCTGTGTAACAAGATACTGAAAAAGTCAATGGCTATGTCGGGATTCTCCAGAGAAGAAGAACATTTATAATAAATCTCATCTCCCCCCACCTTCCCTCTCCCCTCTCTCTCTCCTATTTGTCATCTCTCTATCTAATTGGCTTATGTGTAGAGTCATCCAGCAAGGTGGACACTCAGGCAGGATTTCTGTGTTATAGTCTTGAGACAGAATTTCTTCTTCAGGAAACCTCAGCTTTTTCTCTAATAAGCCTTCAAGTAATTGGATGAGATTCATCCACATTATTCAAAGTAATCTGATTTACTTAAATTCAGCTGATTGTAAATGTTAATCACACCTATAAAATATGTTCACAGTGCAATCTAGACTAGTGTTTGACCAGACAACAGGGCGCCATAACCTAGTCATGCTGACAAATAAAATTAAACTTTACAGCAGCTTAAAAACACAAGCATTTAATATCTTGTTCATAGGCTACAGGTTGGCTGGGGCAACTCTGCATTTATTAGCAAAAATGATGAATGTCTTTTTCTCTTTTTAACTGATTAAGTTATTCTCTTGTATGCATGATTTCATTCCACTTTCCATAAGATGATTTCCCTTATTATTTTATGATTTCTGAAACTCAGTATTTTACACCCTAACTTTCATTTTTTCCCAAACTATTGCTTTAGAATTTTGTTGTAGAATTTTATTGTATTTGCCATATCTATCATATTAGTGAACATGTATGATTCTTCAGTGTCATTGTCTACACTATCTGCACAGTCACCCACGTACATACATGCACACATACAAATCTACAACACCCAAAAAAGCAGGTGGATCTCCTCTTTTTTTTCCTTTTTAAACGAAACTGTCAGTTTACAAAATGTCAATTTCTGGTGTAAAGCATAATGTTTCAGTCACATATTTACATATGCATATTCCTATTCATATTCTGTTCATTATAAGTTACTACAAGATATTGAATATAGTTCCCTGTGCTATACAGTAGAAATTTGTTGTTTATCTATTTTATATATAGTACTTAGTATCAGCAAATCTTGAACTCCCAATTTATCCTTCCCACCCCATTTCCCCCCGGTAACCATCAGTTCATTTTCTATGTCTGTGAGTCTGTTTCTGTGTTGTAAATAAGTTCATTTTTGTCTTTTTTTAATTTTAGATTACACATATAAGTAATATCATATGGTATTTTTCTTTCTCTTTCTGGCTTGCTTCACTTAGAATGATGATCCCCAGGTCCATCCATGTTGCTACAAATGGCATTATTTTATTCTTTTTTATGCTGGAGTAGTATTCCATGGTTTAAATATACCACAACTTCTTTATCCAGTCATCTGTTGATGGACATTTAGGTTGTCTCCATGTCTTGGCTATTGTGCTGCTATGAACATTGAGGTGGATGTATCTTTTCGAATTAGTGTTGGATCTCCTCTTGATTAAGGATTCTGGAGTCATTGAAAGAACCAGCCTCCCACAATCCCAGGTATGTTAGTTGGAATCCAAGTTCCACTTGCCCTAACACTGGGCAAAATTCTCGGACCTTCATGGAGAGCTCAGCAGAGTGTGGTGAAAGTGGAGACTGAGTCAGTTGAAATCAGTTCCCAGGTTGTACCACCTCAATTCTGCTTTGCATTTGGCCACCAGGTGGGAGCAGTGTGTGTGTGTGTGTGTGTGTGTGTGTGTGTGTGTGTGTGTATGTTCACTATGAGGCGTATGTATTGAAGTGGATATGTACAGCCTGCAGATGGCTAGCAGGCTGGAGCCAGAGAGTACATTTGTGTATATGGATGAGAAGTTCTAAAGAACTGGTGTGGGGGCTTGACAGTGCTACTTAAGGATAAAATGAAGTCAGTGGGAGTTGGTGGTTCGTGTAGCTATCATTTTTTAAAACAGTTAAGAGCCTAGTGAGGTAAGTTTGAAAAATCAGCCATCTGTATTATTTTCTGCTCTAGATGAGCAAGCATTGTAAAAAAAATTTTCAGAGAGTAAACTGGGTAATAGTTTACAGGGATTAAAAGGGAATATGAAGAGGTAGAGTCATTTTTTAAGGAAGAAAGCCTCAAGAACAAACTTTCATATAACCACTAAGCCTAGAGCTGGAAGCAACCAAAGTGTCCTTCATTAGGAGGATGGCATGTAGCACATCCAGACAATAGAATATCATTCAGTGCTAAAAGGAAATGAGCTAACAAGTCATGAAAATGCATGAGATAAATGCACACTACCAAATGAAAGAAAATAATCTGAAAAGGCTTCTCTATGATTCAAACTACACAACATTTGGGAAAAAGTAAAACTACAGAGACAGTGAAAAGAGGGAGGTTGCCAGGAGGGAGCATAAATTTATCAATTTTTACTTTTATAGATTGTGCTTCTGGTATTAAGTTGAAGAACTCTTAGCCTGGACTCATGTATGTTCTTTCTCAGTAGTTTCATAATTCTTCTTACAGGTTATTACACCCAATCCAAAAAACCTCCAACCAAATGCCAGCAAGAACATGCCTATAGTTAAACAAAATTAGATTTATTTAGTTTTCTGAGGCGAAGGAGAATGTGCCCCAGGGAACGTTTGAGAACATTTCAGTAAGGAAGATATGGGAGGGTTGCTTGTTTGTTTCATTGACAAACACATATAATATGTGTGTGTATTTGTTGCTAAATCTGTGAGAATTTGTTTTTCATAAATAAATGTTCAAGAGAGAGGGAGAGGAGTTATGAAAGGAAAAAAATCCCTGTAAACTATTACCCAATTTACTCTCTGGATTTCTCCTTCCCTACTGCCTTACTGAATGCTTTTGCCACGTCTTTGTTCCGGAGGCTGTAGATAAGAGGATTCAGCATGGGAGTGAGAATGGTGTAGAAGGTCGACACCGTCTTGTCCTGGGCTGGGGAACGATTGGAAGTGGGCCGCATGTATATGAACATAGCTGCTCCATAGTACATCCCCACAACACTAAGGTGTGAAGTACAGGTGGTGACAGCCTTGTGACGACCTTCCCCAGAACTCATGCGAATGACAGTTATAATTACACGTGTGTAGGAGATGACGATGAGTGATAAAGGGAAGAGGAGCATTACTACACAGCAGATGAAAATGAGTGTTTCAAATGTGGAAGTATCCGTGCATGAGAGACGTAGGAGTGCTGGGACATCACAGAAGAACTGGGATATTTCTCGGGAGCCGCAATAGGAGAAAGACAAAGTAGTGGCTACCTCAACAATCCCATCGAAGACACCAAGGGTCCATGAAGAGGCAGCCATGAGTCCACAGAGTTTCTGGTTCATGAGATTAGGATACTGAAGTGGGTAGCAAATGGCAACATAGCGGTCATAGGCCATGACAGCCAACAGGAAACACTCAGCACCAAGGAGGGACACATAGAGGAATATCTGCATTTCACATCCTGCTACAGAAATGGTATTCCTGCCAGACAGGTAGTTGCAGGCCATTTTGGGTACAGTGGTGCAGATGAGCATGAGGTCCATGAGGGAGAGTTGGCTGAGGAGGAAGTACATGGGGATGTGGAGCCGGGTATCCAGGTAGATGAGGAGAACCATGATAATGTTTGCCAAGAGAGCCACTGTAAAGATGCCCAGGACCAGAGAGAAGAGAAAGATGTGAGAGGGAGTGTGACTAAAAATGCCCATCAAGATGAAGTCAGGGCTGAATGTCTGATTCTCCCATTCCATGATGAATGTTTTCCTTATCTAGAACCACAAGAAGTTATAAAAGTTAACTGTGTAGTTATGTATTCACTATCTACTTTTCGTGTGCCACTCTTTTTGACCAACTCTGTTGGGGCTGGAGTTCAGGACGCTACACAAGAGGTTACACCCACCATCTCAAGAGGTTTCTCCTCATTATTATTCAAGAAAAACCTTGACAATTCTACTTTTCATCTCAGACACTTCACCTAATTTTCTGACGTGAGTGTTGGCTCAGGTTACTTCCCTCATGAAGAATATACTTTGTTCTCCAAGCCATCCCAACATTTTCTTTTTATTCCTTCATCCAAGCTTTAGAACAATCACATAATCCTCATGAACTCTACTTGATTTTAATAGATAATATGCTCTCCACTCACTACACTCAGCCTTGTGTCCTCTTCTACTGCCTTTGGTGCAGAGTGCCGAACAGGGACATCGGATTTGAGATCAGGAAAACTTGGGTTTGAATCATTGCTCTACTGACAACACTGGTATCATCAGGCATCCTCTTAAAATTTTTTTCTATAGTGATACTAATATCTATCTTTCAGGATTGTTGCAAAGGTAATAAAAGATAACTTCTATAAATCACTCAGCATAAAGCTTAATCCAAAATGTGAACTCAGAATATACAAGCTTCAAACACCTTAATCACTATCATGATCATACTTTTGGTAGTTAGTCATATTGCATTAGTTTGTTAGTCTGCCATAAGAAGGTACCAAAAACTAGGTGAAATGAACAATCAAAACTGATTGTCTTACAATTCTGAAGGCTACAAATGTTAGATCAAGGTTTCAGCAAGACTGGTTCCTCCTGATAGCTGCAAAGAAGAATCAGTTCCATGCCTCTTACCTAGCTTCTGGTGGCTGCTGGCAATCTCTGTGTAGAAAATAACCCTGATGTCTTCCTTCAGCTTCCCATGGCAATCTTGCTGTTTGTGTCTGTCTCCAAATTTCCTCTTTTTATAAGGACACTAGTCATTTGGATTAACACTCACCCTAGTAACCTCATTTTAATTTGATTACCTTGTTAAGACTGTATCATCCTGAAGTACTGGGGTTTAGGATTCCTACATATAAATTTTGAGGGACACAAAGCAATCCATAAAATATATACTAATTTCCATTTTTATTTTTATCCTATTATTTTATGTAATGACTTATTCTCTAACGTATAGGCCACTAGAGAATATGAAAACAAATATATGTATGTTCCTATATGACTGAACTATTGTGCTGTACACCAGAAATTGACACATTGTAAACTGACTATACTTCAATAAAAATATACATAATAAAAAAAGAATTGACTAACGTATAGGCCACTGAAAGGTAAAGTAATGCCTTACATCTTTGAAATACTATTTTAATCAAACAGAATTGTGCTTTACACAGAGTTAAATATGTGCTTCTCAGGGAAAAAAAAGGAGTCTTGAAGTAGCAGATGAGATTGATAAAGAAATTCTCTGAATGTGTTTAAAGGAGTGTACATTACAGAGCAGTCAAATCATAATAATTCTTATATTCACATAATATTCTTTAAAAAGAACCCAAGACCTAATCAAGACTAATATTACTGAAGTTTTAAATGTGGGATGAATTAATGTAAGCCTAGTTAAGATGAAAATACATCTATTGCTCTGGAAGTGTCTAAAATAGTAGAGATTTTCATCCATTTCTGCCTCATTGAAACCAAGAAGGCCCTAGAAATTTTGTAATTTAAACTTCTTTTTCCAATCTTACCTTCTGGCGTTTCTCAAGAAGATATAATAGCACTGACTACGTTAATAAAAAGGCTTAAATTGATAGGGTTTTTTTTCCCTTAGTTAAACTTCTTAGTCCACAGGGATTTAGTCCCTTGCCTTTAATTACAATGGTGAAGTTATCTTCCAGTTTTCTCCAAGGTCATCAAGGTAATTGTTCCTGTTCCCAGCATAAGCTTTGTTTTTCATATCAGGCAGTAGAGAATGATCTGTTTCTTTCATCATTGATAACAGATTGCTTGAAATATTTACCTAATATGTTGCTTTTAAAATCTTAACAATTTCTCTACCCCAATGGTTCTCAAACTTAGATTTTTGTAAGAATATCTTGAGAAAATAAAAAATTATTTTCTAGGGCCAGATCATTCTGAGACCCATTGAATCAGAATCTCTTGGAAGAAGCCAGGCGTTGCTAGTTTTTAAATCTTCCGAGTAGATTCTATTGTGAAGCCTCTATTTTTCCCAAAATTAACAATGCCATCTTGGTCTTTGGATTCTATTGTTCTCTATTTCATGGCAAATCTTGTTCAATAAACCTTTTCAGTCCCTCGTATTTTGTCAGTTGCCAGTTTTAGATTAAGCCACTAATAAGCCCAGAACATGCTCATTCTTCATTAAATAGTTTCCATATAATGCATAGGCTCACTGCCAGAGACACTGTACTTTACTATGGCTAAGAAAAGGAGCAGACTTATTTGCTAACTCATCAGCATGGAGCCTGAGATGATTACTGAGAGAATGAGGGATTTTCCTTTTTTGCACCACTTTTTAAATTACTGTTTTGGGGGGAATATTTCGACTGTTACTGTTGGTCTCTTTGGTTTCTTTGTCCTTATGACAGTAGTGATTCAAATATTTGGCCTCCAACTCACACAACTCATGTGGTTTTGATTTGCATTTCTGTGATTAGTGATGTTGAGCATCTTTTCATGTGTCTGTTTGTTATTTGCACATCTTCTTTGGAAAAATGTCTATTTGAGTCCTCTGCCTATTTTTTTAATTGAGTTGTTTGGGGTTTGTTTGATATTGAGTTGTGTGAGTTCTTTATATATTTGGATATTAACCCTTAATCAGATATATTGTTTGCAAATATTTTCTCCCATTCAGTAGGCTGCCTTTTTGTTTTGTTGATGGTTTCTTTAGCTGTACAAAGGCTTTTTAGTTTGATGTAACCTTATTTGTTTATTTTCAGAACACTCAGTTTCTTTTTTCTTCCAGTTTTATTGAGACATAATTGACATACAGCATTGTATAACTCTAAGATGTACAACATAGTGATTTGACTTAACATACATCATGAAATAATTACCACAATATGTTTAGTGAACACCCATAATCTCATATAGATACAAAATAAAAGAAAAAGAAAAAGAAAAAGAAAAAGAAAAAGTTTCCATGTAATTAGAATTCTTAGAATTTACTCTCAACAACTTATTTTGTACATTACAGCCCTAGTGCTTATTTATCTTATAACTGGAAGTTTCTGCCTTTTGATCACCTTCATTCAATTCCTCCAACCCCTACCCTCTGCCTCTGGTAACACAAATCTGATCTCTTTTTCGATGAGTTTATTTGTTTGTTTTTGAAGTATAACTGATCTACATTACTATGTTAGTTCCTGGTGCATAAAATAGTTATTCCATATTTCTATACATTTCAAAATGATCACCACGATAAATGTAGTAACCATCTGTCACCATACAACATTATATTGTTGTTGACTGTATTCCCCACACTGTACACTTTATATCTGTGAATCATTTATTTTGTAGTTGGAATTTTGTACCTCTTAATTTCCCTCATTAACTTCTCTCATCCCCCACCCGACTCCTCTCTGGCAATCACCTGTTTGTTTTCTGTATCTATGACTCTGCTTCTTGTTTTGTTTCTTGGATTCCACATATAAGTGAAATCATATAATATTTGTCCTTCTCTGACTTATTTCACTTAGTATATGTGTGTTTATATGTATGTATATATACATATGTGAGAGAGAGATTGATTTATTTCAAAGAGTTTGTTCATGTGATTATAAGCTGCTAAGTCCTAAGATTTGTAGGATGAGCTGTCAAGCTGAGCACACTTAAGACCCAAGAAGAGCAGCAAAGTGCAGAGAGAAAATAAAAAGTGTTATTAAAGAGGCATTAAAATATACTATAAAGCCCCCATAATTAGAACTGGGTATTATTGGTAAAATATTCAAGAACAGAAAAACTGAACAGAAAAATCCCAACATTTCAGCATATATGAAAACTTAATGTATGAAAAACATTTCACCTTAAATCTCTGGAGAAAAGATTAATACACAGTATGGCAATAACTCGCAGCTATCTGATATGGTTCACACCATAGGCTAGACCAAATTCCAGATGTATCTGAAACCTAAATATTAAATTTAAAATAACCCAGGTAATTAAAGAAATGTAGGTATATTACTTTATAACCATGAGTATATGTCACAAAATTCATTTATAGTAATGTTATTTATCTCAGTGGTTTAAAACAACAACAATTTATTTCTGAATCAAGAATCTTCAGGCTGAGTTTTAGGTCTATTCTGCTTTATTGGGTTGTGTGCCTCTGCTGCAGGCAAGAGGGCTGGTTTAGGTCTCAACCAAATGTCCCAGCCTTGAGCAACGAAGTAGTATCTGGTTCATTTCTTGGAAAAATCATACAATCACCATCAAAAGTGGCTTAAATTTTTCCAGTGAGTACAACAAAACTTGGGTAACAGTTTGTTTCTGGTTACTAAAACAAAAGCGCTTACTGCTGGAAAACAAAAGGTCATGAAGGCAAAGCCAATTACTAGAAGTTATAAAGTACATAGTCCACAAGTGAAAGCTGCAATTAATGCCATAAGCAGAGACAAAGGTACTAATCAGTTGCTTGGACATCAGCTTATGGTCTTGGAGAAAGGCTGTTTCTATGAATGTGCTGGATTTTCTGGTGATGACTATGAAGAATATACATTGTCTAGCTGCAAGAATAGACAAAAAGGTCGAAAAGGAAAATGTCTCAAGAGGTAGACATTATTGTTCTATAAGCAAAATCATGAAGCCAGAAGCAGTAATATAAATCAATTGCCCCTGTGAGATTTTGATGACTTCCTGGTTCAATTACACACACAAGTGCACTGAGGATCCAGCAAGAGAGACAGGAGGGAAAACTATACTTTGAGGCATTAGCTTTGTGTGCTACTCTCATTGCATATTGTGGCTGATGACGACCAGCTGAAAGTATCTTAGAAAGTAGACGATGCAGACAGGAACTCCACACCTAACTCAGTGAAGACAGAAAGGAAGTTTATACCCAACATCTTCCAGAAAATAATTCTCCTCTTCCCCTAATTCAATATACTTGAAGAGACTCTGAAGAGGAGTAGTATGGAATTGACCAAGGTTAGTTAAGCAAAGATCAGGTTTAAATGCCTACATTTCTGGCCAGTGAAGAAAATAAAGATGGATAAGAAAAGGAGGGCGGTATTTCCCAGGAACCTAAATCCAGTCTGCAACAGGAAGAACAATTGGGCAAGTAAAAAAATTAAATAAAAGGCATCTGAATCAGAAAGGAAGAAGTAAAACTGTCACTATTTGTGGATGGCATTATATTATATATAAAAAAACCCTAAACATTCCACCAAAAATTTGTTAGAATAAACAGATTCATAAAGTTGCAGAGTACCAAATCAATATACAAGAATCAGTTGTATTTCTACACACTAACGATAAACTACCTGAAAAGAAATTAAGAAAACAGTCCCATTTACAACTGCATTAAAAAAAATAAAATGCCTTTTAACTGAGAAGGTAAAAGTCTTGTATGCTGCAACCATAAGACATTGATGAAAGAAATTGAAGACACAAGTAAATAGAAAGATATTCCATGCTCATGGATTGGAAGAGGAACATTGATCTTCTCCATGCTGAGCATAATTCGCCCTCAAGAACAAACGACACTGGACAATAAGCCTGCAAGTTCAGGCAAACCCTCAGTAAAGATACTTTCAGGTCAAGCCACAGCACACTCCTTCTTACAAATGAATGTTGAGTTATTTCAGATGGTCTTTTAATACCAGATTTTAATGTTTTAAAAAGAAATAGTAGTTCTTCCTACATAAGTGCTTAACAAAAGTCACTTCCTTTCCACCTCCCCTCTAGGGAGGCTTATTTGCCTGTAGCTGTTTAATTTCCTACAGCCGGTGCTTTAACTCTTGGTGTACCTAGTAGGACAGTGAATTTCCAAAGTAGGAAAATTTCCATATGAAAATGTCACAAGGGATATAGGAAAGAAACTACATACTTTCAGCTTCAAGTTCAACTGCTTGGAGCAGAGTAGCTGGGAGTTTCTGGCCCTCACGGTGGGAACTCCAACCAGAGGTGCTAACTCTGAGGTGGAGCTTCCAGAACTGGTTTTCCTAATAAGGGATTGAGTTGGGTGATGCATCTCTCCTCTGAGCTTTGACTGGACAAAGTCTGTATCACAATTAAGTTCTTTATTGGTATCTGAAAGGCCATTTCATGTGTAAGAATGAAAATGAAAACATGTAAAGCAGTGTTTAGAGTGAAATTTATAGCCTTGAGTTTTCTAATATGACTATTAGAAAAAGAAAAATGGTAATGAACTAAATTTCCATCTTAGGTACCTAGAAAACTTAACTATGTTTAAAGGCAAAAACCTTTAATTCCTATTTATAGGACACAGAGACAACTAAACCAAATTAATAAACTGAATACTAGATATTTTCATGTATGGGTTTAATCAACATATACTGTTTCAATTATGTAAAACACAAGTAAGGAAAGAAAGACAGGAAAATAAGATTGGAGAACTTCAGAATCTATATAAATGTGTTTTGGCTTTATGGCTGGAAAGTCCCTTCTGAGGAGGTGACATTTTAAGTTGAGATCTTATTAAAAGAACATTCCAGGCAGTAGAAACAATTGGGGTAAAGGCAAAAAACAATCTTACTTGAGTATTAGAAGCAACTGAAAGGCCAGTGTGGTCAGTGTTGTAGGAGGCAGGGAGTAGTAAGGATGAGATAGCAGACGCTGGCAGGAATCAGATTACATGAGGCAATGTAGACCAGGTTCTGGAGGTCTGAGTTATATTCTAAATATTGGAACATCACCAACTCAATAAGGCATAATCAAAAAGGATTTTTGGGGGGCTCATATAATTAGAAGGCAATAACTCACTTCAGGCACGGTTCTTGACCCATCTCTTGGCAATTCTCTCAGCTCTGCCTTTCTGTCACTCCCCAGAGCCAGAGCAACCACGCCAGTGGAATGAGTGGGGAAGGATTTATATAAGGTTTTTCCTTTAGTCTAATTGAGCTGACATAGTTTATGCGCCCACCATAGACTTATAATGTTAATCAGGGTAATGCTAGGTGCTAAATTACCTTAAGCTTTGTCTGGTCTCACAAACCAGACAAAAGAAATGATATTTCATGCTTGAAGTTGCCTTCAACTCATCAAACCACACTCCCGCCACACAGTGGATGAGGGTGAAATGTCTGCTCTTGATTAACTGTGGAAAATATATCTTTAAAAAGGATCATATTTTAGGTTTCTTAAAAGCTAAGTTAGAAAATGTACAGTTGGTGTTATAAGCAACGGAGAGCAATCTATTTAAGGTTGCATAAGACAGTGGTAAAGCAGATCAACCTGCTGAACTGAGTAGGATGGAGAGAAAGAGGATAGACACTCAAAAACCAAAACAAATTAATACATTTCTGGATTAGAGTCGTGATAGTAAGAATGCAAATGAAGGAATAAGTGTGAGAGACATGAAGAAAGAATACCAGGATCTGGTGACAGTGGGAGAGAAAGGGAAGAATCAAACATGATTCCTGGCTCAGCACAGGTGGTGCCATCCATCCTAATGGAGAAACTGGGACATGGGTCAGTGGTTGGAAACAGAAATGAGTTGGATTTTACATGGTTTGAGCCTTTAAGAGAGACAATTCAGGATGCTGGAAAACTAAAATTAGCTCTGATGGGAATGAGAATTTGGAGGTCATTTACATTTGAACAAAAGATGTACATACACGATGAATAAGTTTTCTAAGAGAAAGCAGGTAATCAGGGACTATGCTTTATGAGATAAGGAAAAAAAAGGAGCCAACATAGGAGTTAACAAAAAGAAATGTCTGGAAGAGGGTGAGAATCAGTACTACACAGTATTGCTCAGGACACACACACACAAAAGAGGCAGGCAACATATGCACAATGTTGGAGAGCACACCATCCACTTTGGTTCAAAGGTCGCTGGTGATCTTTGAGAGAATATATGGGTGGAAAACTGAATGTAGCCAGATTGGACCACGATAGGAAATGAACACTTAGAAATGGAGGCAGTATCGATTTTAAGCTGGTGAATTCTGGAAGGGGGAAAAAGGAGAGAAAAATTAGCATATTAAGGGCAACCTAAACTTAAAAAAATAAAAATAATAAGACAAGGAATGAAAGGGCATCTATATATATTTGAAGACTTGAGGGAAAATCTCAGTGAAGGAAATAAATGAAAAGTCTATATAGAAGTAAATGAAGAAGGTTCCAGAGGTTGTTGAACAGAATGTTAAAGGTGTCAGGATATTTATTCCTTCAGGAGAAGAAAGGCAGGATAGAGAGATTTCTTTTGAAGTGGTCAGGAGGGCTCTGACCGCCAGAGATGTTTCTCAGTGGAGCACATGATCCTATTGGGAGAGAGGGTGGCTGAGTAAGGCTGAGAGTGTGGGCTTAGGACATCGACAGGGGAGATAAGAGCTAAGACTGGTCACTGCAGCTGCACCCGTTCCACACATCTCCCCTATCAGTCCCCTGCCCAGTCAGAAACAACTGATCTGGTTTAAACTGCCCATTGGGTAAACCATGGTATGGCCCTGCTGCCCCCAAACCAACTGCCTCCATGTCTCCCGAAGCAGCTCCAAACTCCTCCGCCTGCAAGACTGAGGCTCCCCATTTAGAAGAGGTGCTGGATTCAATGAGGATGGTCCACTTAGAGTTCCATACAAAAGGTTTCTCATTTTCAAATATATTAACACAACTTTCTAAGCCAGGCAATTGAGAGACCCGGGTGCAAGAAGTTTGCAGAGAATTTGAAAATGGGTAAAAAAGATAAACAGGAACTAATTTAAGAGTCTTCTCTTTTCCTCCCTAATCAATTACTTGATGCTGTCAGTCGCTACTAGTTGTAAAATCTCTATATCCTGATTTTTAAAGTGCCCTCTGCCAGATAAAAGGATCCCTTCTGCAAGGGTTAACTGCCTTCAGCCTCCCTCACTACTTCAAAGTCCAAATCTCTGCTTGGGTAAAGTGATGACACAAGCTAATATTTTGGGCATGAAACACGAAAGCTTCGGTTGCCTTACAAATATTTGTTTCTCCAGAGCGACATGAACTATTTCAGGAGACACTTGTGGTGTATTCGTGTCTGGGATGCACCTTTCCCTTCTTCCCCAGACAGTGGGCCACCATTTCTCTTCTAATTGCTTGTAGGGGGTACGACTAGTGTTTTTCCCAAACTATTTTCTCACCACAGCCCACCTAAATGTTGGGTTGTATCATCAGTTTGGGGGGCGGGGTATGAAGGCTGCAGGCCTTGTTCTAGCCACACCATTCTGTGAATGCCGAAAGGAAAAAAAGAACTTGAAGTTGTTCTATCTTCCCTTCCCCTTTTATTTATCCATCCAACTTAATTCTTTTCGTACAGTAAAAGCCACTTAAAACCCTAGGACCTGTTCTGTTGGCAGAGCAGACAGATGTAAACTGGAGCCAACTTCATAACGGGATTTTTACACCATCTCCCTTGCCAGACTCCAACAAATAAGACCAGTGCGAAGAGGTAGAATTAGAGTCATTTTTGGATTTCACTGGGAACTGAAAATTCAAATTTCCCCTAATTTTGAGGCTGCAGCTTACTCACAGAGACGTTTTGTTGTTTCTGAATTTTTTCCTGAATATAGTCAGTTTAAGCTATTACTCCTCCCTGTGCCATTTATGTAATGCAATGGGGAGGCTCCAAAGGGATTCAATGTCCACAGCAGCACATAGACAAAAATTCCTTCCAGGTTTCCATTCACTTTCTACCTTAGCATCAAAAATTCCTAGAATTCTAGGGATGGTCCAATGGTTATCATCACCACCTGGCCTAATGGTCACATGAATATCCACTTTGTTCTTTTTTTTTTCAGCTTTATTGAGGCATAATTGACAAATAAAGTTGTAAGATATTTAAAGTGTACATCATAATAATTAGATATACATATACACTTGGCAAGGACTCCTGAATATCTGCTTTAGTCTAAATCAAGAGGAGGGGAAATGCGTTTTCTTAGTATAATGGAGACAAAAACTGGAGTTTTTCAGAACAATTTTTATTTAAGAATTAAGGGAAAACAAAAACATTAAAGCATAGGAATACATTGACTGAATACAAGTGTCTTGTTTGGTCTGAAATCTTTAAAAAATTACTCTAACTACTTACCTGAGGTAGATTTAGGTTGGCACTGTTTCAAGAGAACCTCCATCCATCCCAGAAGTTACCTTCTAGTTTTGGTTGCAGGCTCCCAAGTGGTCCTCTCCAACCTCAGGTTATGCTATATGAATAATACCAACACCATTTTCCCCCATGGTTAAAAGCCCTCAGACCTGTCTCATACCCTCTAAGTTCTCTGCTTGATGGATGGCCCATCCTGAATTTACTTAAAGACTAGAGACAATTACCAGTAAGATTAATTGAAAGAAGGGGCAAGTCACTGCCCTGCCAAAGATACAAACTCTGTTCCCTTCTCCAAATTCTCTCTAATGACTAACAAGTAGCCATGAGGACTAATTTCCATCACCACCATGCCATACACCCAACACTATTTTAAGAATTACAACTGTCAAACATATACTAGTGATAGGCATGATTTTCACCAAAGAGAAATACATCTTGTGTGTTTTATCACACTGAGCAAGTTTTCATGGTATAAGAGCTATTTATGAAAATTACTGAAACACATCAGATCAAATAAATTTTCAGGATCTTTTTTCTAAAAGAAAAAAGAAAAAACACCCTAGGACCAGATTCCGTATTATCACTATGAGCTATATCTGCTGACCCTAAGATTACCAGGCTCATCAACCAGTCATTAGGATCAAAGCTTAGCGCCATATGCAAGGTAGCAACACAGCAATCGGATCCATGAATCCGAATACCAACACTCTCTGGAATTCAGGATATGCTAAGATTAAACAGAGGACCCAAAATATTTATTCACCAATCTATAGTCCCAAATACTGTAGGAATCTTAAGTATTAACATTTCTTTTAATCTGAGGGAAGGAAAAAAACCTCAGAAATGTCCATTTATGTCCTGGATTAATTATAGTTATTCCTGGAGAATGTTAAAGGTAATCATAATTGTCCTGTTAAGTTGGAGGTAAGCGCTTATCATTAAACCACTGATGAATCTGCCAACTACTTTTCCCTTCTGGCATTTAGAATCCTACATTACAGGCCAAATATACCCCTTTTATTGTGGTGATTGTAATCTCTTCTCTGCAAATAAAATGTATTCTCTTTCCTTAGTAGAACCGAAATAAATGAAAGGCAGATCATTACTGGGCCTGATGTGCTGTAAACAGCAGGATAAATGGAGTGAAAAACACCAGCTTTCGAGTCAGGATTCTCAAGTCTAGCTCCTCCATTAATAATGCCTCATTATGTGTTTTATTCTGTGCCTACTGAGGCTTAAATCTTTCTTTCCGTCTTCCCCTTATTTTGTAAGGAGCTGATGAGGATACCTTATCATGGAAAGAAAACACGATCAACAAAGTCACAAAAACACAGATACCAGCGAAATCGTAACTATTACCCTGGAATTTGCATTTCTGAGTTGAGAAGAAATGAAATCTCTAAAGCTAAAATTTCAAATACTAGTAATAATCTGAAAGATATTTTAGGGAAAGGAAACCATTGAGGGTATACCTCAATGCACATCAAGTAAAAAGGTGAGTATTCTGCCTCTTTATGAGGGTGGCCCTCCAAAGGGGAAACTCTGGGAGAAGTTTTGATCTAGGATAACTACTCCCTTGGTGCTTAGTTCTTTCCACAACCAGCAAAAGGTTCCCACGTTACTGTCAACACACTAGTAGTCCCCATTCTAGCCAAGAATTTAAAAAAATCAACAGAGGCCAAGTCAATGTACTTCTTTCCTCCAACAGTAACACATGCCACACCTTCTATCACAAGGTTACAGTCCTTTCCTTTATTGGATTTCCAAATTTTAAAAATGGAAAGTAAAGCAATCATTAAGTGGTTCAGATAAAAGAAAAGCATCTTTACCTGAGTTACCCATCAGGCCTACTCTGACCTGCCCCAGTTCCTCCCAGAACAAGTTTCCGGGTATCTCAAAGAAAAAAAAAAGTTTACATTTTTGACTCCATTAAAACTCATCTCTACTATAGGGGTCAACTAACTATGAGAACAGTTCTTCTCATACTATTAAATGTACACAGTCCAGTTAGATCTCTTACTAGAACAAAATTCTCTGCAGAGCAGGTTCTTTGGGGCCTAATAAGGTAAGGGTTTCTTGCAAGGCTTTTATTCAGACTCAAAGTATTTATAGGATTTTTCACTTATGTGAATTCCCTGCTGTATCACAAGAGCAGATCATTGACACTGAAGCTTTTCTCATTCAGAGAATTCGTAAGGTCTTTCCTCAGATTGGGTTTTTTTAGTGCAAACCCAAGAAGGCTCTCCAACTAATGCTTTTGCCATATTTAAGACAAATATGCAAATATTCAGCAGTATGGCTTCTCTGATGGGTAAGAAAGTCATAGTTCTGTTAGAAGATTTTTTTTTTTACACTTGCTGGGGTTTCTCCCCAGTGGAGCTTTCTGATGTCCAATGAGATATGCATACTGTCTGAAGCACTGTTGACACAGGGCATTTAATATGTTGTCCTCCGATGTGAATTCTCTTGGACTGAGGAGGTGAGTATTGCTAGAAAGCTTTCTCACACTCACCAAATTGATAAGGTTTCCCAACCTTATGAATCCTCTTGAGGGTGATCAGACGTGAGCTTGGACTAAAGGTTTTTCAATACTCAGGGCATTTTTCAGGTTTCTCACTGGAGTGACTGATAAGGTTCTTTAAGGACAGCTCTCTGGACAAACTGTTTCTCAACTTCCTACAACTGCAGATTCTCTGGTCCCCATTGAAGTCTGAGCTCTGAGGAAAGTCTGAGATTTGCCTAGAGTTCTTCATCCTAATGAGTTCTCTGACGTTGTAAATACATTTTTTTTATGGTATTATAGCTTCTTGTCTGGTCAAGAAGACATTTGTGAGGCTTCTGATACAGGGGGAGGGCTGAGCTCAAGATTTTTTTCACCCATGTTACAGATATATGGTTTTTCACCGATGTGGATTGTCTGATGTTGTAGAAGGGCTGAGCTCTGGTGGAAGCTTTTATCACACACACTGTATTTATAGTGTAGCTCCTCTGTCTGAGTTCTCATTTTCTGTTGGGCCACAAAGTCCATGCCTAGGAGGAAGCCACTCTCACAGGTAGACCACTGATGTGGCTTCTCTTCCATGTGAATTCTTTGATGCACAATAAGGTCTGAACTGCAGTTGAAACTCTTCTCATATTCAAGGCATTTAAAAGTGTGCGTGTGAGTGGCCTGGTGCCTGATTAGGTTGGCACTCCGAGTAAAACTTCTCATACATTCCAAGCATTTATACGGCTTCTCACCTGTGTGGACTCTCTGGTGAACGATAAGGTCTGATTTCTGGCCAAAGCATTTCTCACAGGCACCACACTTGTAGGGCTTCTCCCCAGTGTGAACTCTTTTATGAACAATGAAGGCTGAACGGTGTCGGTAACTTTTCTCGCACTTATTACACTTGTAGGGCCTTTCACCAGTATGAGTTCTCTGGTGGCTAATAAGATCTGATTTGCCACTGAAGGCTTTTTCACACTCCAGACACTTGAATGGTTTCTCACCTGTGTGAGTTCTTCGGTGCCTTATGAGGTTTGTACTTCGGCTGAAGCATTTATCACACTCACTACAAAGATACGGTTTCTCGCCTGTATGGCTTCGCTGGTGGACAAGCAGGTCAGAGCTCTGACCAAAATTCTTGCCACAAATATCACACGTATAGAATTTTTTACCTGCATGTGTTCTCTGGTGTCCCGAAAGGGCTAAGTGGTGCCAAAAGCTCTTCTCACACTTGCTACATTTATAAGGTTTCTCGTAACTGTGGATCCTCTGGTGGGAAACAAGATCTGAGCTTTGGAGGAAGGTTTTATCACACATATCACATCTATAAGGTTTCTCTCCAGTGTGGGTTCTCTCACACATAATAAGAGCTAAGTTTTCACAGAAGTTTTGCTCACGTTCAAGGCACTGGTATATCTGATCATCTATTTGAGTAATCTCATGCACACGAATAAAAATCTTTTTACCCTTCTGAGGGCAAACATGATATATTTTCCTTTTTTGAGTTCTCTGAGTAGATCTCTCTTCTGAAGTGTACATTTTCTATGGCTCTCTCCTAGGGAGTTTTCCACTGGTCTTCCTGACCCATCATTTTCTTCACAGTCATTTTCTTGATAGGAACTTGACATATACATCTGTTTTAGGCCTTTCAGTCTTGAGCAGTTCCTCCCCACAAGTTTCCAGCATCATATACACTAATTCCTTACTTGGTATTGCCAACCCTGTGAGACAAAGAAGAAATATTATTTATATTCCTGGAACCAAGAAAAAAATGCTCAAAATTAAAATTGTGCATCAGAGTCCACAAGTACTCTAGGTTTTACAGGGGTAAACTGATTCAATATTAGTAAATCCATTAATATAATCCCTCATATTTAGACATCTAAGGAGAAAAATATGATTATTTCCATAGATACTAAAAGCATTCATAACAGAAATCAACATCCATTCTTGATGAAAATACTCAAGAAAGTAGGAAATTCATGGATACTTCCTTTTAACATGATAAAATATATACACTCCTTAGTCCTACAGCAGTACCCAAATGAGAAAAACTAGTCATTTCCACTAAGATCAGGAACAAATCAAGAATGATCATAATCTATTATTAAACACTGACCTGGAAGTATTAGTCAATGCAATTTAAAAAGAGAAAACAATTGGAGGTGTAACAATTGAAAAGAAATATTACCTCTGTTTAGAGACATACGAGAGTATCACTGGAAAACCCTAGAGAGAACCAGTACTAAAACTGATTCAAATAATAAAAGAATTCAGTAACAGGATATAAAATTCACACAAATAAATAGCCTTTTTCTATGCACAAAAAAACCAACCAATTAGCATATACAAGGATAGAGGATATTCCTTGTATAATAACAACAAAAAGTATTAAAAACTTATAAATAATAGTTAAATAACACAAAGAGAAAAACTTTCAAACACTTACAGCAAGGATGGAGGATACATGGTTAATATCAAATGTCAATCACCTTCCTCCATACCAGCAACAAACAATTAACATTTGAAATTAAAAACACAATACCATTTACATTAGCACCCTCAAAAATGAAACATGTAGGTATACATCTAACAAAATACGTACAAGATCTATATGAGGGAACAACAAAACTCTGATTAGAAAGAAATCAAAAAAGAACTAAATAAATGGAGAAATATTCCATCTTCATGAACAGGAAGACTCAATATTGTCAAAATTTCAATTCTTTCCCACTTGATCTACAGATTCAACTCAATTCCAATCAAAATCCCAGCAAGCTATTTTGTTGATATTAACAAACTGACTCTAAAGTTTATATGGAGAGCAAAAGACCCAGAATAGCCAACACAACATTGGGAGGGAGTGCCGAATCCTAACCACTAGACCACCAACACAATATTGAAAGAGAACAAAATTGGAAGACTGATGCTACTTGACTTTAAAACTTACTATGACAGTAATCAAAACAGTGTGTTATTGGTAAAAGAACAGACAAACAGATCACTGAAAAAGAATAAGGAGTCCAGAAACAGACTCACATAAATACAGATGACTGATCTTCGACAAAGAAGCAAAGGCAATACAATGCAGAAAAGACAGTCTTTTCAACAAATGTTGCTGGAACAAGTGGACACCCTCATGCAAAAATATGAATCTATACACAGACCTTACTCCTTTCACAAAAATTAACTCAAAGTGGATCAAAACACAAAACTATAAAACTCCTAGAGGATAACATGGGAGAAAATAAAGGTGACCTTAGGTATGATGGTGACTTTCTAGATATAAAACTAAAGTCATGATCTATGAAATAAATAACTCATAAGCTGGATTTCATTAAAATTAAAAACTTCTGTTTGCAAAAGACACTGTCAAGAGACTAAGATAAGCAATAGACTGAGAGAAAATATTTCCAGAAGATATCTGATGAAAGACTATATTCCAAAATATATTTTACTCTTAAAATATGAGAAAAGTAACAACCTGATTTAAAAAAGGGCAAAAGCTAAACAGATGAAAATAAAAAACATAAGATGCTCAACATCATGTCATTAGTTGATCATTCATGTTATGAATGATAACTGAAACAATAAGATACCACTACAAATTAGAATGACAAAAATCCAGAATGCTGATATCAAATGCTCACAAAGATGTGGAGCAACAGGAACTCTCATTCATTGCTGGTGGGAATACAAAATGGCACAGCAACTTTGGAAGACAGTTTGGCAGTTTCTTAACAATTTTAAATATCCTCTCATCATATGATCCAGCAGTTGCACTCCTTGGTATTCACCCAAAGGAGCTGGAAAACTTATATGCACATAAAAACCTGCAAAAGGAGGTTTACAGAAGCTCTATTTATAATTGCCAAAACTTGGAGGCAACCAAGATGCCCTTCAATGAATAGATAAACAAACTATGGTACATTCAGACAATAGGATATTATTCAGTGCTAAAATAGAAATGTGCTATTAAGCCATAGAAAGACACAAAAGAATCTTATTTGTATATTGGCAAGTGAAAGAAGCCAGTCTGAAAAGGCCACAAACTGTATGATTTCAACTATGTGACATTTTGGAAAAGGCGAAACTATGGAATCAGTAAAAAAAAAAAGATCAGTGGTTATCAGGGGTTCGGGAAAGAGGGGTGAATAGATGGAGGAGCACAGAGAATTTTTAGGGCAGCAAAACTAGTCTGTATAATACCAAATGGTAAGGATATGTCATTGTCCAAACTCACAGAAGTTAAAACACCAAGACAACCCCTAAGGTAAACTACAGACTTTGGGTGATAAAGATGTCTCAATGTAGGTTTATCAACTGTGACAAATGTACCACTCTGGTGTAGGATGTTGATAGTTGCGGAGGCTGGGGTGGGGGAGGGTGGTAGGGGGCACGTAGCAACCTTCTGTATGCTCCACTCAATTTTGCTGTGAACCTAAAAGTACTCTAAAAAAAAGTCTACTTGAAGAAATGAAATCATAAAAAAGAAATGTGAAATATTGTTTCTCACCAATCAAACTGGCACACATTAAAAGATATGATAACTTTTTGTTCTCAAGGCTATGGGGAAGCAGACAGTCTCATCTGATGCTGGAGGGAATACAAATTGGTACAACCCCTTGAGGGCAATTTGGCAATATCTAATAAAACTAGACACGCATTTACATCTGACTCAGCAATCCCATTTCTAGGAGTTGACTATGAAGATACACCCCCAATAATATAAAAATACACATGTATAAAGTTATTCACTGTAGCAATGTTTGTAATTTGAAAATATTTCAAACAACTTAAATGCCCATATGCAAAAAAGTGGTTGAATAAACCTGGTACGTTCACATATAATGAAGTACTATGCAGTGTAAAACAGAATGAAGATAATCTTTACTAACTGATGTGGAGTGATTTCCAGGATCAACTGTAAATTTTAAAAAGCAACAGTGTAAAAAAGTATGCTAAATTTTGTGTAAGAATAAATTAGAAATAAAAAACTATACATGTATCTATTCATTTGGTTAAAAAGAAGCTCAGAAAAGACAAAGAAAAAACAAATGAGTTTGGTTACCATCACAAGGTTGGTGAAAATGGGATTAAAAGAACAGGAAAATGAAATTGGTGCCAAAGGGTGGAGGGAGAAAGAGTCATATTTCTTTGAGTATACATCTTTGTAAAACACACATTTTTTGCTGTTACATTTCACATATTCAATAAATAACTAACTAGAAAATATGGGGGAGAAAAAATTTTAAATGGGATACTAACAAAAACAAATGAGTCTGTATTTCAAATGAATAACAAAACTACCCAGAAGAGGGCAAAACAATTCAAATAACTATAATACAGTATCAGGAGTATATAAATTCAAGCTAAAGGTAAAAAGAACTATAGACAATTACCAAACTCTAATTAGCAGGGGTTTTCCCCCATGGTGGTAAAGGTTCACTATTTAATGTATATACTAGGAAAGAACAAATAAGTAAATGTAACGGCACCCACATGCCTCACCATCAAAGAAGGGAGTTACAAATATAGAAAAGGGAAAGGCTAGAATGAGCTCTGTAGTGTTTAATTGGAATTAGAAGTATCAGTATGAGGTCAAGGTTTTGAAGCATATATACAAAAAACAGAAATGTGTGTATGTGTGAAAGTATAATTTTTTCCTAATAGTGCCTGCTGAGAGGTCATATAGAAACAATGAAATCCCAGTAGTAATGAGCATACCAAGCACTTAGATCTTGGTTTCTAAACACCATTTCCCACTGAAAAGAACCTGGGCTCCTTGGAGAAATGGCTAATTCCAGGGTTTAGAAAGTACAAGATGAGCCCGGAACAACTTTTTGTGTCAGAAAATAAGGAAGTGCTCAAAAAGTGGTGACAATATGCCAAGAGGACCCAGGAGCCAGGCTGAAGGGGCTGCCACTACACAAATCTGGAACAAACAGAACATCAAAATAAATGACAACAGTAATAAATTAGTAACACAGTAAGAAACCATGAGTCCACACTCATTTAAAAAGTGAATAGTGTTGGAGAAGGGAAATTTTTCTTATACTGAAAAAGCCAACAATTAAATGTAGAAAAAATGATGGAATTAAGAAAACCACATGTCCAATCAAAAGATGAGTTATTAACTGTTTCAGGCAAAAATTAGTGGATGAAAAGTTTTATGAGAATTGGGATGTTTATACAAGCTGAAAATATCTCCCCACTAGCTATCTAATCATTACAAAGACAAAAAAAGTAACTTCACAGTATAGAAACCTGGAAGACACCACCTGAACCAAATGATAAAAGTTAACACCACCAATAACAAGATATATAATTGCCTCCTAATATGATGCAAAGAGAACAGAACATCAATTGTATGCTATCTTGCCAAAAATATATCACCTGAGTCTAATCATGAGGAAACATCAGGCAAACCCAAACTGAGGGAAATTATGCCAAATAAATGACCTAAACTAAGCCTTTGAGATGTCAGCACCTAGAAAATAAAATACAGTCTGGCTGTCAAAACTTAGAGTAAACCATGATACTTCCCTAGTTCAAAATACTATAACTGTTTCCTACCACACTGAGAATAAAACCTAAAGTTTTCACTGCCCTACATAATGTGTCTTCACCTATCTTCAGCCTCACAGAACACATCAGAACCTTTACTCTTACTCCTTCTGCCTAGAATGTTCTTCCCCCAAGTAGCTTGCTCCTTTATTTAATTCGTGTGTCTGACTAGAAAGTCTGAAGCACACCCTGACTACTTCATCTCAAATAACTGTCCCATTATCTTGTTTTGTTTCTTTCCATAGCATTTATCATCTCTCAGCTTTGTGATATGTATTTTATATTTGTTAATTTGTTTCTCTCTCCTACTACAATATAACTTCCACTAGGATTAGGACTTATTGTTGTTGTTGTTCACTGCACTATTTTTAGTGTCTAGAATATATCTGTTGAGTGAATGAAAAATATGAATACCAGAACAAAAAAAGAGCCATCATCATCATCATCCTTGGAGCCCCAATAGCAAAGCAACAGACTAGGCTAATAGTCTTGGCTGGTCCATCTGGCAAACCCCAAAACACGCCTTAGCTTCAGGGCACCCTTTTCTAAGAGGTTTCTCTTACCGCATCCTAGGAAAAGACTGGTTCTCTCTTCCATGGCTAGGGTCAGAGTGCACAGAATAGGCAGACAGGCAATAAAGTCCAAGTAGACAGGCAGAGTATAGAACTTCAAAGCTCAAGGCTACCCTTGCAGTTAAAGGATGTGTGGGACAAGCAGACAAAGTCAATAAAGCATTATCTAAAAAACAGATAATGCTTACTGTATCAGGCCCTAGGCTAGGGATTATTTCACTTATTTTTCATTGATTACAAGGATTATCTCATTTAATCTTCCCAAGAACGCTGTAAAACAGGTATTAATACCAATGTTTGAACCTTACAGATAGGAAACCTGATGCTCAGGGCAGTTAAATAACTACTCAAGAACTCACAGCTAGTAAGTAGCAGAGCTAGAATTTAAATTTCCATCTTCTGACTCCAGGGCATACTGCCTTTTGGGGGGCTGCAAATCAATCATGAAGCAATTACTACCAGCCTATTATTAATAAGGATGTTAGAAAGGAGTAGAAAATACACTTAAACTGGTAGGATAGGACCCAGTTTTATTACTCTTCTATCTCAGGAGCTAGGAAAAGATCATTCTCTTTTCCCATGTATCTTCTCCCATTCCGTCTTGTTCTCCCCTAGTCCTCCTCTCCTCCCCCTCAAAAAATCCACCATTTATACAGAAACATACAGCCTGGTATGTCACTTACCATAACAACAAAGACTCAGGACTGTCTTGTTTCTGCCTCCAAAAGGTCTCTAGTCCATAACTATTCACAACACTCAATTCTTTCCTCTCCTAGAGAAAAAAAAATCAATAATGTGGAAATTTATAATTTTTGTGAAATTTAAGATTTTTTGGAGCTGGAAATCTGAAAATTGGGCCCATTTACTTCCCAGTCTGATCAGTATCCTTCAGCCATAAGGTACCTCTTCCCACCTTTGCTTACATTGTTTCTCCTGTAAGAAGTACCTGCCACTGGTAGCCATCAGTTCCTTCCCTAACAGCTTTCGACAAAACATCGAGAATCCTTCTGGGTAATGACTAACTTTAACTTCATAATAAAGCCCTGACTTCCGTTCTACTTGCTTGTTTCTAATTCTCCTCTGCCAAGTGTATTATCGCAACTTCTGAGGTCAATGACTCATTTTTCTACTACTATAAACCTCAAGACGCAGTTGGTAAGTGTAAATGATACAAAGTTACATACAACGCTGGTTCCAAAAATGGTTATGAAATGACTGAACAAACCAGATTCTTCTGCATCTAGATTCGGCTGCAACATGACCAATCTCTGCATTAAAGATGGGGGTGGGTGGTGGATAGGGAACTCCATTCAACGCCCTTGGGTTTTTTCCTCCAATATAAAAGATACAGATCGCTCAGAAAAGTGCCTGGCAGTGTTTACTATTATGATCTCCTGGAACGATAGTACTAAGCTTCTCTCCTTTCAACTTTTCATTGACCGCCTTTCGGTTCGCCGTCAGGGGGTTCCCAGACTCCGCTCGGTCGCGAGGAACAGAGGCTGCTCCTACCAGGCGGAGGCCGAAGGGGGTCTCGGGCCCGGCCGAACCCCTCCCCTCGTCCCTGCGCCCCGCAGGCCATGCTCCTCCCAGGCCCCGCGGGCCGCGCTTACCCCGGCGGCTGCCGACGCCGCCCCTCCGCCAGGGACAGCACTTCCGGTTACTCTCCGGACACTCGGATTTGGGCTTCCCGGCGGCCGCGAGCTCCGGGGCGGTGAACCTAAGGGCCCACCTTCGGGGAAAGACGGAAAGCAGACCTGGGAGGCCGACGAGAGCCACAAGCAGCTCCCTCTGCGCGGCTGGGCGAGGGGAGTTGGGACCAGGCCGTCCAGTGGGCGCTTTAAGGGCCGACCAGGCCAGCTACCCGAGCCCTTTCAGTCTGGCTGGGAAGCGGCCGGCGCAGCCCCGCCCCCCGAATCACATGATCACCCTCTGTTCAGCTACTAGGGCTCTTCGCCCCCGGCCTCTGGGCCAATAGGGGCCGAGCCTCTGGCACGGGGGCGGGGCCCTGGGAGCGCCTGCGCTCCGCGGCCCGTGGTGTTTCGGGGCGGAGCGGGCGAGGATTTAGGGGTCCTCTCTTAACTGCAGAGGTCCAGGGGTGGAGCGAGAGCCCTCCTACCCGCTTGTCTAAGAAGAAGCAACGCTGTTTATGTTAGTTTACAACTTCTATTCTCTTTCCTCAAGGCTATTAAAAGAGGATTCGAGGCCGGGCAGCGTCACCGAGATGGATGCTGCCGACCCTGAGGAAAGCACCCTGAAGGATCTGGAAGAAATGGAGGATCCCAAAGCACAGTGGAAGCACTCAGTCACCGAAGATGTGGCCAGAGAGATGGATGAAATGCTCTTAAATGTGTGTAGTGGTGGCCTTGTGTGGGTGGAGAAAACTGCAGCGGAAGATAGGACTGATCTGACAGGACCAATGTTAATTCACAAAGCACGTGAATGTAACTGAAGGATCCTTCCCCTTATGCCGGCTGAGGAACAATATCTTTAAGTTAATAAAGAATATTTTATTGCTTTTGTTAATGTGTTCTTGATGTTCATATTGTTGTTTGTTGATGTGTTTAAGACAACAAAAATCCTCAAATCAAATGAAGAACCTTTGGAATTTGGGGGATAAAAGAAGAAAAAAAAAAGAAAAACCAGACAAAACATAGTAGAGAAGTAACTTGTGGCTGAATAGATTGTTTTGTAAGCTAATACATGGCTGTTCTTTATGGAAAACAGTTATTAATCCAACATCAGCCTAGCTAATAATCTAGATACCCAGCCTGAACAAAATTGGGGCAAACGGTTTTAATTTATTCATTCAGCTAATATGTATCAGACACTAACAGAGGGGCTATGTGTGTGAGCAACATCATGCCCCAAAGTTGCTTTGGATGAGAGAAGCAACAGTCCTCAAGGTATATATGACCTCAGAACCTGAAAAGGGTGTGAATCAGTTTTTTTTTTATTGCTCCTGTAACAAATTACTGTGTACTTAGTGGACTTAACAATACAAATTCATTATCTTACAGTTCTGTATTTCAGAAGTCTAATTCAGGGTACCCTGGGTTAAAATCAAGGTGTTGGCAGTGCTATATTCCTTTTTGGATAATCTGCTTCCTTGCTCTTTCTAGCTTCTAGGCTTCCTGCAGTTTTTGGCTCATAGCCTTTTTTCTCCATCTTCAAATCCTGCAATGAAGGACCAATTTCTTCTCATGCCACATCTCTCCAAGCCTTCTGTCATTGCATAACTCTCTGACTATACCCAGGAAATGTTCTCCATTCTTAAGGACTCATGTGATTGGATTGCCTTACCTGTATAACCTCCTCATCTCAAGTTGGTAACCTTGATCACATCTGTAAAGTCCTTTTTGCCATCAGGATAATATATTCATAGGTTCCCTGTGTACTGATTACTAATGTCAAGGGAGGACTCAAACGACTTGGATGGTAGCAAAGATCATCATTATTGCCGACCACCAGAAATAGAAGTCCAAACACTCTGCTCACTGCATCTTGGTATCACAGTCACCAAGGAAAACACAACACAGTCAAGCACAGGCTGAAACAACACTTTACTTACACAGAGAAAAGACAGAGCAAGGTCAGCTTTAATATGTATGTCAGTCCCGCATGTCTAGCAGGTCCCCACAGCAACTGATGCAGGGTAGTAGACCCAGGCACACAACTCTCCTGCCACAGGAGGGCCACAACCCCTCCCCCATGGAGTCTGAAATACTGAAAGCTGGGAGCATGCCTGAGGTCACTGATGCATGTGCTGAAGCAGAACAAAGGAGTACACATTAACTATGAAACAGGGAAAGATATCCTCACATAAGGTGATAAGCCTGGCACAGGCTGTGTGGACTCTTTATCTCTTGGCAAAGTTGTGTTCCAGGCACAAGGTCCATTCTTATCTGACTGAGTAGGAGTCGAAAGCCTGCACGTGAGATTACCTTTCCCAAGAGTCCACCCCTCAATCTATGGAAACAGCAGATAAAGCACATCAAATCCAGTAAGACCCGAATCTACCTCAAATTTGGAAGCATAGTTGGGTCCAGTGGGGTCCCTGAGCAACCTATACAGATGAAGTTCATTTGCAGAGACTTTCTGTCATGTTGAGAAAGTACTTTACCAGAATCATTAAGAGAACCAGATCCTGGAGGATGGCCAGTCCTCTCTGGAACATGGCCCTCTAGTAGGAACCCCAAGTTCCAGGCTTGATCTAGCTAAAGATGTTGATGAGTCTAGGTATGACACCAAAAGCACAAGCAAAAAAAACCCAAAAGGAAACTCTGCCAGTCCACACAACTACAAGAATAATTTCATGACAAAAAAAAAGTCTTTACATGCGGGGGTTGGGAAGGAGGGAAGCTAGGGCAAGGTTGAATGATAAGGTTATCTCCTACATGAGGCCACTCCTTCAGGACTAGGAAAGGGCTGTTTTATCTAACCCACAGAAAAAACACACAGAATAGCAAAATGAGGAAACAGAGGCATATGTTCTAAAGGAGAAAACAAGATAAAAACCTCTGGAGGGGTGGGTGGAGACTAAAATGGAGATAAGTAATTTCCCTGATAAAGAGTTTACAGTAATGATCATAAACTTGAGAGAAGAATGTATGAACACAATGAGAACATCAACAAAGGGATAGAAAATATAAGAAAGTACCAAACAGAAGTCACAGAGCTGAAGAATACAATATCTGAAATGGAAAATACACCAGAAGGCTTCAACAGCAGATTAGACGAAGCAGAAGAAACAATCAGTGACCTCAAAGACAGAGTAGGGGAACTCATCCAATCAGAGCAGCAAAAAGAAAAAGAATTTTTAAAAACTTACGGGATTCATGGGACAACATCAAGCAGACCAATATTTGCATTATAGGGTTCAATCTCCTTATTTGTTATAGGTCTACTCAGCATTTCTACTTTTTTTCCAGCTTTACTGAGAAATTATTGGCATACATTACTGTATAAATTTAAAGCATACAGCATGATGGCTTGATAGACATATATTATGGAATGGTTGTGACATTATGTTTAGCTAACATCCACCTTCTCATATAGATATAATAAAGAGAAAAGAAAGGAGACAGGAAGAAAGGGAAAAAAATTCCATCTTGAGATGAGAACTCTTAGGATTTACTCCCTTAACAATTTTCTTGTATATGATACATTACGTAGTTCTCAGTTGTCTCTTGAAACTTTATGATTGTCCAAGCAGCCTATTTTTAAACATTTTTTGTGGCCCATAGTGTCTAAAATGTTTATTATTTGCAAGCGGCCTATTTTTTTTTTAATAGCTCCCAGTTTTTAAGGGTGTGCCATGACCTACCAGTGTCCCCAAAAGAAAGGAATCTCAGTCAGTACCTAATTTTAGGCAGGTTGAAAGGCAGCCCCTCAGACAGCAACACTTAAAATATGCAAATACATATGGTCCTTGGGACTGGAATTGTAAACGCCGCTGGCCTCCAGGCCAGGCAATTTGAAGGTTTCCCATAGGTGACAGTTGCAAAACTCAGGCCTTCAGACAGGTGTATAAGTTAATTTCTGGGAAATACTGGCTAGCTGGAGCGAGGCAGAGGGAGAGCACAAAGATGGCATTCTCTTGCCTGTGTTCTCTTAGAGCATCTCTGTAAGCCTGCCTCTCAGGCTGAAGCTCAGGCTTCCTTCACAGAAAGACTGGGGGTGTGTTTCAGTCTGCTATGTGTGCAGTGCCCTTGGGGTGGTAGTCTGCCAAGAACTGTCTTTCCAATTGTTCTAGTCCCATGGGACCCAGGAATGCAAGTTCCCCTGGCCTCCCTATAAAAACTGGGCCACCAGATGTACATAAAAGCCCCCTCACCAAGAGATACTGGCACTGTGGAGTGTGGCAGAGTACAAGTGCTGAAGGCAGATAAAAAAGGATGGTGCCCATTGGCTTTAGAAAAAAAGAGAGAAAGTGCAAAGTTGGGGATCCCAGGCTAGAGGGTAAAGATGGCACCCTCTGAGAAAAAAGAAAAAAAAAAGAAGATGGCTCCTGCTATCTTTAGCAAAGTAGAGGGAGAATGTGAAAATGGCTCCAGCCATTTTCTGTCCCCAGCACCTCTGTCCCCGGAGAATACCCCATCAGGCCCCTGTCCCTCTGATGGATGCTTTAGATTAGCAAGTGAATCTCCTTCACACGTAGTCTGGGTTCTTTTCAAACTGCTGCTTCTGTGCTGGGCTCTGGGGCAAGTAAGCCTGTGCATGAGCCTTTTAAGAGCAGTTTCTCAGAAGACTATAGGTTCAGGGATCATTTCTATAGTTTGTTCCTCAGTTTTCTACAGCCCTTTGGGTCTTGTGGATGTGACCCTGTTGGTTTTCAAAGCCAGGTGTTTTGGGGGCTCATCTCTCAGGTGCAGGTCTTAAAAGGTGGGATGCCTGATGTGGAGTATGAACCCTTCACTCCTCAGGGAGATGCTCCAGACTGGTTAGTTCCCTCCCAATTGTGGATTGCCATGCAGGGGCTGCGGTTACGGTGAGCCTGTCTCAGCCTCTCCTACCTTCTTTGATGTGGACCTTTTCTCATTAGTTGATGTAAAGGAGCTGTTCAGGTAGTTTTTGGGTTTCAGAGGGAATTGCTCCATGTGTAGCTGTAGATTTGGTGTCCATGGAAGAAGGTAAGTTCAGGATTTTCCTATATCACTGTCTTGGACCACCTTCCCCAGATTTTAATTGGATTAATTTTTTTTCTATTGAGTTGTATAGATTCCTTATATATTTTGGATATTGACCTCTTAAAAATGTGGTTAGCAATATTTTTCTTTCATTTGGTAGGTTGTTTTTTGATTTTATTAATGTTTTCTTTTGCTGTACTGAAGCTCTCTAGTTTGATGTGGTCCTACTTGATTA